TATGGGTTGTGTGTAAAAAACATCAAATACATCCAGAAAAAAATGTAACCCCCCCCCCCCCCAACCCATCCAAAAAAAAGTTAATAAAAAAAGAGGATAGTAAAGTTAAATTTATAAATTGTACTGAACAGGTTGAAATTGGGACATGTTATTAATAATTTTCTTGAAATTGAAAAGGTTTGCATTTTGGTACCTTTAACCCTAACCCTCAAGATTGTGTGCATGCATTCAATTGGCGCTGGCAAAAAGTGTAGGGAGTTTAACGTTTCGCACATCCACTTTTTGTATTAGTGGCGTGGTTGTATCTGAACAATCCCAATATGTGCTATGCTATTTAGTCATTATTATACATACATTAAACTACTAGTTTATGTTTTAAAGAATAATGAAACCTTTGAAGCAGTTACAATAGTGAGGGCTTACTGAAGTTATATTTAATTATATCTAAATCTATAATCAATTAAATATCTATTAATTTAATTACCGTTAAATTTATAATCTAGGCCTAGATCTGTTGTTTTAAACAATTTATTTAATAAATTTAAATAAATTTCCTAGATAATCTTATCATAAAGACAAAAATTAACTAAACGACATATTCATTACTATAGTAAATAGTTAATTAAGAGTATTGAGAGTAGAATTACGGCCTATAGAAATATAAATACAATATTACTTTTTTAGGCCCTATTAATTAATAATCATTAATATTAAGTATTAAGCCTATTATTAATCATGCACGATCCACAGATCTAGTAGTAGTAAATAGTGATACTACACTATGACTAGTATTTCTAGAATTCTATAGATGTCTAGTGTCGTCTAGTGTCTAGCTTCTAGTAGAGTTAGTTTAACAGTATGGTAATCTATCATTTAAGTACGTAAAATCGGCAGAGGCTTGTTATGTGGAAAAAAGGTGACCCATTATTGTTGATTTAATACAAGTAGTTCTATTGTGATATTATTGTCAATTATAATAGATAATTGAATGATAAACCAAAAGCAATGTCTAAAATAGTCTAAATATATCAATTTAGGCTATAAAATTACTTTAAATAGCCGTATTTGCTGGCTAGTTTTACTATATAAACAGCGGCCATCTGTAAATTAGAGTAGTTTCCCCTGTATCTCTTACTGAAATGCTTGGCCAACAAAAAAAACTGAAAATGGCAGATAAAGTAAATTTGCTTGGTTGCATCTGATGAAAACATTACAAATTTTTATTTATTACTGAAAAGTTTTAATACAATTGTTTAAAATCAGGTACATGAATGAAACTTTGGAAAATTTTTGTAACTTTCAAAACATAAATCCTCCTAAAAATGTGAAATAATTACTAAAATTTAATGAGTCACCTTTTTTTCACATTACTATATAATTATTTTATACTGCTAGCCTCGGCAGATTTTAGTTTTAACTAAACAACTGGGGTCACTGACCACTGCAATCTTTACTTACCAACTTGCCACCTAGATTCTAGATTTAATCTAGATCTAGATATTACTAGATATTAGATAAATCTAGAATCTAGATCTATACTTATAATTAATAATTAATAGTCTATAGAATCTCAATCTAGATCTAGTCATTATTATTTAGAAAGGGGGGGGGGGTATCACTTACTTACTATATACTATACTTAACTATACTAGATCTATTAATAGATCTGATCTTTCTAATACTAATATTCGAATTAGGGTGTAGCTTTCTGTTGGCTAGCGTGGGAGGTAGAAACTAAAAATGAAGAATTCTTACCACAAAGGTCGATGATACACAAAATGACTGCTAATCAAAATCATGGCTAATGTGTCGCTTTCAAAATAAGGAATTAAAAGCAAAAACAAAAATTTCTCTCGAGATTCTAGATCTAGAGATCTAGCTCGTTATTGAGTAGACCTAGATCTAGATTATATAATATTTATAATTAATAATTAACAGCAACAACATAACAATTAACATGGATAAGATCTTGTCATTAGGGCCTATTTGTTTAGTGGACTTTGCTGTAGTGTATGTCTGTATCCATAGCAACTGGTCCTCAAGTAGACACTCAAGTCTGAAGTCTAATGATCGAACAATCATCGTACCATAGGGGTCGTACAAGAGCATTTTAAATCAAATGTAATCATTCATAGTCTTAGTGGTATAGAATCTAGTGCATTAAAAAGCCGAGGCGAGGTTTAGAAAATTTAAATATCTAGATTCTTGACCTAGATCTAGATCTAGATCTCCTTTATTTTCCAGTTAGTTTATTATTTAATAGTTTCGTTGTTTCAATTTTATCTGTTGTTAGACTACTTTTATTCTTTCGTTTCGGAGAAACATAAAATATCGGCTGGAGTTCGTTATGTTTTTTTCTGCAACTAGATCTAGACTAGATCTAGATTCTAGAACTATTATAGTATAGTATCCCTTGGGGTGGGGTGGTAGACGTTCTTCAGGGGGGGGGGGGGGTGAGGAGAGCCCTCCCCCCTCCGAAAAGATATCTGAAAGAAACTCTGCCCATAGTGTATCATAATCTTTAAAAACGAACGTAAGCGCCAAGGTGCCCAGGGCGGAAACCGGCGCTGCCAAGCAGCGCCCTGACGTGTATCACACTCTTTAAATCGAATTTAGGGGCCTTAGTGCTCACTGTATGGACCGGGGCGCCAAATAGCATCCTACCGGGGGCCGCCCCTCAAAATAAATTTTTCGCAGAAACCTCTCCAGGTGTATATGTTCAACAACTTCTCAAAGGTTTAGTAACACATAAATGTATTAAAAGACAAACACTCAGACTAACAGAAATACTTCCATTGTTTTATGTATAGATAGATTACCCATCGCTATTTTTAGGAGTGTAACTTGTCTGACGAAACTCTACAATATTTGTTAACGTGTTACTAATAATTTTATTTAGAACTCTGTGCCCTATCCCAGTTTTCGTAATTTATTTTATATGGACAAAGGGAAACAACAAGTTAATATATTTTTCAGAATAATCTAAGCATGGTTAATTCCTCTGATTTTTTAAAAATTCAATAATATTAAGCGTTTTAATAACAAACGTGTATGTGATAATGCACTAAAAATGAGAAAATAAATGATTTTCTTTAAATATATAAAAATTAACGTGTACCACTTTGTCCCTATTATAGGTACCATAGTGCTCACGGGGGAGCCCGGGATACTGCAGGTAAACAGCCGCGGGGCGTCGGCGGACGCGGCTGATTCGATTTAAAGAACGGAATAGTAACCCATGGTTTATCGCACTTTTTAAAATAAAAGCAAGCGATATACTGTTCACGAGTGAGCCCAGGGTGCCTACTGGGACCCTGCCGGGGCGCCGTCCCTCTGAAATTGAAATTTATTTCCGTAGAAACCTTCCCGGGAGTATTTTCATCAACTCCCCAAAGTTTCATGGCAGTTGAATGACCCAGAGAGCACCGGGCCTTCCCGTGAGAACTATGACGCCTACGTTTGTTTAAAAAAAGAGGCACTAAGGACACGGGGGGGGGGGGGGGCTACAATAATCGTAGACTAAATAGATTCAGGCGCGCGTTATCGGGCGCCCCGTCAGGTCGTGAATGGACGCCCTGGACTCCTCCGTGAGCACTATGGTGCCTACGTTCGTTTTAAAGTAGTGCGATACATTATGGATACGACGGGCTGCAATAATCCTTGACTAAACCGAACCAGGCGCGTCTGCTGGCGGCCAGGAGCACCTAGTCCACTCTTGTGAGCAATATGGCGCTTACATACGTTTTAAAGAGCACCCGCAATGGGGACACGGTGGGCAGCTACATTCGATGACTAAACTGCAACAGGGAATACACCCGGAAAAGACGGTAGTACGAATGGCAGTTTATCACGCATTGTCCACCTCTACCGCAAATAGTAGTTTGCTCAAAACATATTTCCAATACAGTCATTTAATAACGCGTATAGTGTATATACAACACGTCACCATCGTTGGTTCTTTCTTTTGAGTTTATTGAGGAACCCGTGGCCTCTCTTTAAACTATGTTAACCCTAGAATCATCTGAATCACAGAGACCCCCAAGCTACACATTTTAGTGCAGATCTACAAACTAATTCATTATGCGTTTTAAAATGGTGGATTTAATGCACCAAAATTCATAATAAATCAGTTTGAAGATATCTTTAGCTGAGTACCCCTAATTATGATAGAAGGTTATGAATTCATTGTTTATTGGGCTTAAAATATAATACATTATGAATGGTGGGAATCCTACGATGAGGTTAATTTTTCAAGATGTACACCGTTGTCATAGTTACCAAGATTTTCCCACCAATTCTTTTTTAATGGAAACACATATGCGGATGTACCTTAAAAAGACCCACACAAGCCCTATAGAGCGTGCTAGTGTTGTGACTGTGGGCAGGTTGTATCAGGTGGTAACACGTTCGACAGGCCTCATGCTGTGGCACACATCATGTCCGGTGGGGGGCCCAATCCAGGGCTTATATCTGACTTTTTTTTTTCTCTTGGTGGGTGGGGTGGAGAAAGGCACGACACTAAAAAGGAAAAAGTTCATATATATATACATACATATATACATACATATATATATATATATATATATATATATATATATATATATATATATATATATATATATATATATATATATATATATATATATATATATATAAATTCTTTGAAAATTATGGTTTCTGAAAATTATTCTTGCACTAGACTTAAAAGCTAGTTCCAAAATTTTGAGTGACATCTGATAACCGGAAGTGGTACTTAATATTTCTGTTTCTAGGATACCGATATTGTTAGTACCGTTTCAGTTAGGTAAACGAAATTTTATACATAGGTATAAGATTTTATTTTCTTGATTATCTCAAATTTTTTAGAATTTTTTCAAATTTACGAGAAAGTTTAGGGGAGATCACTCCCGCTTTAATTTGTTCTTTTTTCCCCCACCTCTTTTCTATGTACTATTTTGAATGGAAGATACATAGTTGACAGTACTTAATTGACCTCTTACACATTTTCTGTTGTATGGCGTGATTTAAAATCCCTGTTTGTAGGATACCATACCCAATTATGTCATGTCCTTTGGGGTGATTTAACCTATTTTTGGGATGGGATGGAGATTTTTATTTTTTATTTTCACATAACATAGGAAAATCAAATATTATAAGTTACGAGCCGGCCCGCGGCATAACATACGCCGCTATTTAGTTGTTTCTAATTTTCAATAATTCATAATTTGTGAATTCGACAGTACCAACGCTGACACTGAAAATATTTCTTTAAAACACTATAAGTAGCTCGTTAAGGACCATAACCCCCCCCCCTTCCTTCCCTCCCCCCCTCCTCCCCCCCCTCCTCCCCCCCCCCCTCCTCCCCCCCCCCCCTCCTCCCCCCCCTACGTTTAAAATCGTTGGCTCTGCTTGTAAACATTTAGAGTGAACACAGCTCACTAAAACCATGTAGGGGTGGGGAGGTAGGGAGAGCGTTTGCAGCTTGTTTTCTAACGGCTCGAAGAAGAGAATTATCACCCCATGCGGATCATCTCAACGACAGAATCGTTGAGCCTCTCTCCGACTGTGTCGCTGAGAATAAAACCCTTTGGTGGTTTCTCAGTCAACACTGTCGTTGAAAATAAAACAATAATTAAACATGCTCTCCACAATTAGGAAAGCATAAACTGTAGGTGTTTTGAAGCTAATATTCCAGCCATTTTGTTTTGACGAGAGCTAGTCCAGATCTAGACTAGATCTACTTGATCAACGATTTACACTGATGTAAAACCTACGTAAATCAAATCTACAAGATCAGGATTTACATTTAGATCTAGAAATCTACATTATTGACTAGAGAGAAAAAGTTAAAAGTATGCCTAGTGCGTCGAAAGTAAATGATAGAATCTAGATCTAGAAAATCTAGAATCTAGTAATTTTTCAGTAGCACTAGCTAGCTAGATCTAGTCTAGATTGACTAGATAGAAAGATAATTATTTCTGTGGCATAGCTGTCCTTTAGCATTTAGGATCTAGATCTAGAAGTCTAGATCTACTCAATTTTAAATCTCTTCTATTTCAAATTGTTTGTAGATCTATATCTACAAGATTAGGCTTAGGTCTAAAAATATACTAAATATACTAAAGTTAAAGCTACACAAGTACACATCATTCCTAAACTTAATGCCATTAATGACATTAATATGGCTAAAATTCACTGAGCATTGTTGCACTTAAGACTTAAACGTAAGGCCTAAATAAATACTAAATAAAATTATTACGTTAGCTTAATTTTCGTGACAGCTTTTCTCTTCTTTTTTGCCATGCTTAATTTAAGTCACTTTCATGTGCTGGTAGCTTAAAATAAAACTTGTTTAGGAAGTTTATTTCTTTCTCCCTTTCATAATGCTGCAAATATGAGTAAGACGCTTATTATTATAATTAAATAGCTGCGATAAATAATCATTTGCATCTTTTTAGGGGGTATTTCTTTTACATGAACTGTGAAATACGGTATCTCAAATTTTGCGCGTAACTCAAAGCGAAATATTACTCGCTCAACTGCTCGTATTTAAAAAATCTGGTATGTTGAGGCACTAGAATGTTGAGGTACCACAGGATCTACTATGTATTGAAAGAAAACATAAATTAATTATAGAATAATAGGCAAATATAGTAATAAAGTAGGCCTTATAGCTTTAGATTTTATTCAGCCTACTAATAAATAACTAAATAGGCCTAAAGTAGTACTAGATATTAGTTAAATCACTAGTATTGTGTAGGGTTATTTTTATTAAAAAAACAGATCACATCTTATACATTAAGGCGGGCTCAATAAAATAAAAATAATTTATTTAGGACCTAGGACCTAGGCCTATCTTTTGGAGATCTAAAATTCTAAATGAAAAATAAATTATTAATTAGACCAACAATAGGCATAGTATGCTAAATCTATTTTAGTATTTAAATTTAAGGCTCGGCCATCTACTAAAAATTTTATAAATGTCATAAAATGGCCTACTTAATTATAATTACTAATTACTATTAGGCCTAAGTTTAAACTAGAGATAGCCTATTTTATTAGTAGAAAAAGTATTAGTCATAGTTAAGATGGTATAGCCTTATGTAAATTAATGTAATCAGTGTTAGATATTATGATATCGATCAAGCAATTATTATATAATATCGGAAAGGGGCCTAGCACTCTCTTAGTCATTAGTCTATTAGGTCTTACAAGTAGTTTAGCCTATTTATATATTATAGGGCCTATAGGCTGTTATTTAAATTAGGCCAAAGGCTTAATAGGCTTTAGTTTTTAATTAGGCAACAAGGCAGAGGCTTAATGTTGCTTATAGATTTAATTTGAAATTATTATGATATACGCTACTCTGCGACTATCACTATAGACTGCTATAGAGTATATTATAGCCTAGGCCTATCTAAATAAAATAATTCAACTCACTTAGCTTACTATAATTTTTAAAAATGTTTAGTTAAGTATTCAGCTCTCTATGTCAGCTAAGGCCCATAATTGTAATTATCCTACTGTTAGATCTATTAATTATTTAATAATTAGTAGGCCTAATTATAGGAATTAGGTCTGATACATTAAGTCCTATACATTGGTCGTAGAGTAATACTATTGGGCTAGTAATTATATACAATATCTATACAAGCCTACTTATCGTTAATTTGGAAGTCTTTGCATTGACCTTAGTTTTCAGATGTAGCAGCCTAATTTTTATCAGATTATACCATAAAATCAAAAGTAGACTTGTAGATCTTTTTAAAACAAGGCATGAAATATTAATTTAAATAATATAAATTAAACAAATAGCCTAAATAACAACTACACAAAGTTAAAGTCATAATAACCTTTTATAAAGGTATCTTGAATTTCAACTGGAGGTAGTTTTGATAAATATTAGTATTCTGAACATTAAAATAGGTAGACTTAACATACATTTGTTCTGAAAACATATTTAGAAATTGGTTTTAAAAAATGAGGTTAGGATTGGGGTGATAACTAGTTGAGGATTAGATATGATATTCATTGTGTTTATCCATGTTGTAATTTCTCTTTTACAGGTTCATCCAAAAAAAAAGGGAAGATCTGATTTTTACCAGTAATAAGACTACAGCATACTAAATGACACAAGATGTTCTTTCTCTATTACCTCTTACATTTGACATAAAAGTAGGAAAAGGTATGACAATTATTAATAAGCTGCTTTAAATTTTATAATTTGTTTTTTTATAACTTAATTGTACCATTTTTATTTCCAATAATGATAAATATAATTTAGTGTCATTTATATTTTAAAATATTTATATTATACTAGATATAATTTACTTCTATAATATTACTATCCAGGTTTAACAGTCTATGCCTACAACATAGATCTCCAGGACTAAAAGTACACAAAATGGCAATCAGTATATCACAAGTGTAATAACACATGCATCTAATCTGCTTCAGTGGCGAGAACTGGGTGAATCCTCTCAAACATTAATCAGGTAAGTTATCACAAGTTTGCTTTGGTTTATTTTGAACATGTTGATTGAGATAGATTTTTATTTGTATAAATATTGTATTTAAAAAAATATTTTACCTAGTAAAACCAAGTCAGTGGTGATGATTGATACAATATCATTATGTATTTTTTTAAATATTTGTTTTGCAAAATATGCTGATTTGCAGGAAGGATATATATATATATATATATATATATATATATATATATATATATATATATATATATATATATATATATATATATATATATATAAAACAGTATCATTTAGTGGTTTGTCTTACAAATTTGAATTATTTACTTAATCTGTCTTAACTGCTCAACAGGAACTAGGCATACCTAATGAGCGTCAAGCTGATACAGTAGATGTACAGAAGAGTTTATACACAAGGTAAATATTGATAAATTTTAAGTTTTCTTTTTTTAAGGATACATGTAGTGTTTTGGGAGAAAGGAATTAAATTATTTAAATTAGGCCTAATAGTTTATTTCTCTAGCTTATGTTTCACTTAAAATAACTTAAATTTTTCCCCCTTTATCACTAAAGCAAAATTTTATAGATATCTATGCCATGATTCATCTCATTCAATCACTTTTTTCTTGTTTTGTTTTGATGTATTAAACTAATTTAAACTAAAGATTTTTTTTTTTGCTAATTTTATTATTTCAGATGGATGATTAAGAAAATCATTTTGTTTTGTTTCAGGAAGTGAAAAGTGATGTAAAAGGCAACTAATACTTCCATCTACCATAGTTAAACAAGAATCTTCAAATGGTGATAATTGCAATAATCTTGATATATTAATGTTTGGCTTTATAATTATATGCAATTGTTTCATAAATAAATTATTTCTCAAAATTTGATGTTTTTGGTTTTCATACTTTGTACATAAGATGCAAGTGATTGAAAGCTGAAAAGGGTTGTATGTAGTTATAGTATTCCCAGCACAAGTTGACATTAAAACAGCTGAAGCCCTTTAAAAAAAAAAAACAAAAAAAAAAAATAATCTCGGAATGCTGTTTCTATTAGCTGAGCGTATATTTGGAAAAGAACTTAATTGTTTACCAGAGAATACTGTGACCCAGTTTGTACTCCAGGCAAAAAGTGTCTATGGTTAATATTATTAAGTTAAAGAAAAGTATCAAACAAACAGGATAATATTAATAAGCAAGACCTCCACACTAGAGAAGTATGGAATGAGTGTTGCATGGAATTCAAATCAACTTTGATGTTGCTAATTGCTACACTGGCCATAATTGGCCTACATTGATTTTTGCTGAGGTAGGCAACTGTTTTTGTTTAACTTTAGATGTCGACTAAATAAAGAAGAAAACTGACACGCCAATACCAAAATCAAGAACTTGTAAAGTTCGTGGTTGCTAAACCGAGAAGTCCTGAGTTCAATCTCCCGTGTAGATGAGGCTCTATAGTTGGGGATAGCAACCTATCTTGGGGATACAACACTTGTTCTTGGATTGACAAAAGATAAGAAAAGAAATCCAGAAAGAAAAGCAGCTGAACGAAGAAGAAAAAGGCTGGATATATTCGGTATCAACTGTACAATTTTAACAGACACACATTTCAAACTACACATGCATTTCAATGACAAAGTTCAGTGAAGCCATAATGTTGAGTTTGACTGAATGAAGAACGAAATTGTTATTTCAAGCAAAGTTAAGGTTTATTGTCTTAAAGACATTGTCGTGGATTGATTTAGACTAAGACTTCCCTGTTAAATAAGCCGACAACGATGGCTCTTTTTATTTCTCGTCTTTGATGTTGCTTTCAAGAACTTGTATGAGATTAGATTACCTACATACATAAGGCTACACAGTTTGGAATCTTGGCTTTCTAATAGTGGACCTGGCTACATGACATTACCCCCACCCCGTCAATTACCCCCCCCCCCCCGGAGGAGACCCCCCCCCTCCCGTATTTACCCCCCGGGGCAATTACCCCTTGTCAATAACCCCCCTGGACAATCCCCCCCCCCGGCCTCAAGTTATGATTCTAACTCAAACTCTATACCTATGTATTTCCTTAATCCTAATCGATAAAAAAATGACCAAACCCTAAGCATTCACCTCAGCCTAAAACTTAACACATAACCAAAACCAACTCTAGACTTAGGTTTCAGCCTAACCTTGACCATAACACTAACCCTAATCCTAGCCTTAATCCTAACCCTGACCATAACACTAACTCTAATTCTGAATCTAACCCTAGCCCTAACCTTAGCCCTAACGCTAACCCTAACCTTAGCCCGAACGCTAACCCTAACTCTAGCCCTCACTCTAACCCTAGCCCTAACTCTAACGCTAACCATAACCCTAACCTTAGCACAAACGCTAGCCCTAGCCCAAACTCTAACTCTAGCCCTAACTCTAACCCTAGCCCTAACCCTAATCCTAACCCTAGCCGTAACCCTAACCATAATCTTAACCTTAGCCAGAACGCTAACCCTAACTCTAACCCTAGCCCTAACGCTAACCCAAACCCTAACCCTAGCCGTAACCCTAACCATAACCCTAACCCCAGCTGTACCTTAAGAGGTGTGTGCGTGGGGGGGGGGGGGGGAGATGTCCTCCTTGGCGGGGGGTAAATGACAGGGGGTAATTGCTTCAGGGGGGGAGAGAACTAATAATCTGTAAGTCCTACTATTCAATACATTTGGTTAACACAATGTCGTCACACATGTAAAACAAAATAAGCAGTGTTTTTATTATTTGTATCCTTAAAAAATGCAAAATAAATGCTACGCCATTAACTCAACCCTCTTTTTTCTCGTTACATATCGTCACATAAGGCCTCCGCCCAAAATGATGGTGACGTCAATATACTATCATAAAGTGGTCACCCATTAACCACGACTCACTCTTCAGACGATTTTGCACCAAACCCCCCTTCTCTAATTGTAACAAATTTTCACAAAAAGCCAGATCTTCGCTCCCCCCCCCCCCCACCACTCTCTTTAAAAACACTACACCTCAACACATAACCCCCTCCGCCGTTCCCCTGAAACTGCATTTTTACTTTCTCGTATATACGAAGTATAGAGAAAGTCTTGTAATCGTGCAAAAAAAAAAATCGAGATTTTTTACAAATCTCGACCTTTTACACCTCACTGATACGGAAAAACATAATTTTGCAATCTTGTCCGTATGTCTGTGTCTGTGTGTGTCTGTGTGTAAACACGATTACTTGAGTACCGTTACAGCTAGGTTGATGAAATTTCATATATAAGTATTTTATCAAAATCATAGATCCGTATAAACTTTTGAGTGATTTCCGATAACCGAAAGTGGTACTTTTTCTACTTTGAATTTTTCAAAAGCCTATAACTTGAGTACTATTGCAGATAGATAAATGAAAATTTTCACATGTAAGTAAAAGATCTATTTCTCTACCTTCTGTCAAATTTTGAGTAATTTCCGTTGACAGGAAGTACTAATTTACGCTATTTCCGATTTTTCAAAAAACGCACGTAAATTTATAAAGTACTAATAATGTTGCGCACTATTATGCACATCTTTATTTGACGTTCACTTGGTGTGCAATTCTTTTTTCTACGAGGTTTTATTCTATTTTAAAAAGTTTAAGTATTTAAAATGGATTAAAAATCATGTCTATATCCCGAGTTGCCATTCCCCGTAGTGTTATATTAGAATATTCGAGAAAGTTTAGGGGAGATCACTCCCGGTTTATTATAATATGTACTGACCTCGATAAACATTGAGTTAATAAATGAATTAATACCAAAAGCAATCTTTTAAAGCCCGAAATAACGGATGAAAGCAAAAATGTGTCGTCACACTTTCCGATCATCCCTTCCCATAAATGAAAAAAAAGCCTGAACATACTAAAGGAGAGTATGGATGTTGATGGAGGATCCCAACGTTAAAAATTAAAGCAGCACAAAATTTCAGGAATCCATGTTACATATTATTATTTTCCGTAGGTATAACAAAGGTATTTACATTGTGTTTTATATTTTACGAGCCGCTATCATACGCCGCTATTCTGTTGTTTCATTTTCTACTTTTCAGTAATTCATAATTTGTGAATTTGACAGTAACAATGCTGCCACTGAAAATATTTGCTTTAAAACACTATCAGTAGCTCGTTAAGGACGATAACCCCCCCTCCCCACCCTCCTTTCCCAAAAATCTACCCCCCTCCTCGTGAAAGCAGCCCCCTCTGAGTTACCTCCACTAAGTTTAAAATCGTTTCAAACTAAATTATCTGCCCCTAATAGCTGTCACTAAACCCGGCTCTACGATTGTAAACATTTAGCTTGAACCACAGCTCACCAGACCATGTAGGGATGGGGGTGGTAGGGATAGAGAGAAAGAGAGGGGGCTGCTAGGGGCGCTTACAGCTTGGTGTTTTCTATGGTATCCATGAAGAGAATTATTTATATAGAAGAAATATATATTAAACCAGCGTACCCGTCCCGCGCGTTGCTGCGGTCTCAGAAGACAGACTGACGCAATATTTTAAGAGGATTCCATAATTACATTAGCAATCACGTATTTTTTTACGCTTGACATTGATTTCTAAATCTAAACAATTTAAATGTAATCAAAGCCGGTGTTATATTGCTTTCATCATAGTTGTTGAGGCGCAAATTCTACCGCACACAGTAGCCCATTGTATCCATAATGTATCGCACTCTTTAAAACGAACGTAGGCGCAATAGTGTTTATGAGGGACCCACACAGGGGCGCTAGACCACACGCCAGTGGTGCAGTAGACAAAAAATTTCCCTACTGTAGGGCGCTCTTTTAAAACTCATAGTGTTCCTCCCGAAGCCAGTGGTGCATCGGGTCAAACGAATTGTCATCGAATGTCGTGTGCCACAGGGTCAATATTGTAGAGTGCTCTTTAACACAACCTTAGGATATCTCAGGGCGCCAAATCGCTTCCTGCCGGGGAGCCGGCAGACGCGCCTGATTCCATATAGTCAAAAATTATTGTTGCCCATCGTGTCTTTAGTGTATAAATTTAAAAAAAAAACGAACGTAGGCGTCATAGTGTTCACATGGTAGCACGGGGCGCTTCGGGTTACGTAATATCCGGGGCACCGGCGGCTGCGCCTGTTGTTGCTTTTTTACCTTAGCCCCCATGCAGTTTTAATATCGCCGCCCTGGATTTTCAGGCGCCAAGCCGTTTATTAACAAAAATCGCACCCTCCAGGGAAACGCCCATAATAAATTTTAATTTTTGTTTTCGCAGAAACCTTCTCGTGAGTGTTTTCATTAACTCTCGAAAGTTTAACGGCACTCAGATAAACGATGTCAAACAGCATCCGTTTTGTTTTTTACAAACTGTGTAGAGAAAAATTGCACCCTCCAGAAGCGCCGCCCTGTTAAAATAAAAAAAAAAATTTCCTCCCCTGAAGTTTTATGGCGAGCGGATGAACGGGATTAAACCGCAATCTACTTTTACGTATATATACCCTATATAGGGATCTATATATAGAATCGATTCGCGCCCTGCTGGGGCACAGTGCTTGTGAAATATATCCAGTGGTATTCTTAACTTAAGTTGCATGGCCATAGGATGAAAGGTGTAGTGCTGCATAGAGGACATAAACAAACCCACAAACAAACAAGCAAAACTTCATTATATATATACATAGAGAGAAATATAAATAATTCTACATATGCATATATATATATATATATATATATATATATATATATATATATATATATATATATATAAATATATATATATATATATATATATATATATATATATATATATATATATATATATATATATATATATATATATATATATATATATATATTTATAGCTACATTTGGTGACTTCCCATTTTCCCCAATGGCGTCAAATTTTGCACATAATCCACCTATTAATTCATGTGAAAAAAAACATCGTTTTCATCGTAAATTATTAGATTTTGGTATCAGCCTCTCTCCGGTCGTCGCTTAGCAAATCTGTTATCCAAAAATTCAACAAGCATGTATTCACATGTACATTTTGCAGTTTGTGTCATCTCCCCCCCCCCCCCCCCCCTGAATGATAGTTTTTAAACGTGCACAGTTAATTGTATATTTTTTTTATCTGCAGTCAGTTATTAGTAGTTAACTCTCATTAGTCATTTATTGAACTGGCAAAATGCTTACTTCTTCTATATATTTTGCTATTTTTCGCCATGGTGTCACCCCCGAAATTTTGCCACCTTGCGCAGTCCTCAGCCCCGCCCCCCCCCCCCCCCAACCTTGTGACGGCTCTGGTTAGGGGTACTACTTGAGTACAGTAAATATGTATATGTATACATATATATATATATATATATATATATATATATATATATATATATATATATATATATATATATCGGGGGGGGGGGTATAGCCCCTTGGCACACCTTGTACCTACGCCACTACATAATCATGTTCTTAAGATTATATAGCACATTCTATGTATAAATTCGATAAAAATAGCTATTACGTATTCTGCAATTTTATATTTGTAATAACATATTGTAAACGAAATGAGTCTTAAATTCGATTAAAAAATGGGCCTTTATATTATGTATTTTTTCTATTTTGCAATCATATCATGTATTACTTGTTGTATAGCCTAGATTCTATAATAATATACTAATATATTCTATATTACATAATCCTATATTATATCGTTTAGTAATCTCTACCCTAATGTTTTCTATACCGAATAATCAATATTCTGTAATTCTAAATTGTGTATAAATTAATCATACAATCTCTAAAATTAATCATAACTATGATCACAATTAAATTCAGCAATCCACTGTATTAATTTATATTGCTAAAAATAATTTAATTTTCAATTTTAAAGACAGAAGATACATTTTTTATAATATTAATTATTATTAGCTCTGTAAAATGAATGGTTGTTTAATTTTTCTTATATTAAATATTTTAAGCGATTAATTAATCGAAATGGTTTTATTCCGTTAGCTAGTTTTTACAGTTTATAACTATAATTAGAGTCTCAACGACAGAATCAAATGAGAAAAAATCTATAGCGTTATTATATACCGACACTGTTGATAAGCCACTCAACGACAGTCTCGTTGAGAATAGTGTAGGATCGGCTGGAATTATATATATAGATGAGTGATTCGTCAGTAGTCTATTTACAAAGCGTGGTGTGATTAACTAATACATGCCAAATATCTGTCAAAAAATGAAGACTGAAAATAAGCACTGTTTATTGTCCTGAAAACGCGCTAACTGTATAGAAATCTAGATCTAAATCTAGATCTAGTAGCAGCCAAAGTTGACATGTTTGTAACACAAATTGTATATTAATTTTCTATACTGGTATTTGAAAGAAAGAGTACATATTATAAATTATTTCATTTTTTGGGACGATTCTATCCGATACTCTACGGATACATTGAAAAACGGTCACATTCTTTTCTCTATCCAAAAAACTTAATCAGGTCGACGGCATACAATTTAAAAAAAAAAAAGTTTGGCATATTTGGACAAAGAAGAAATACACAAAGAACTTGTGTAAAAATCTAATACCAGGTTACTTATCCCCCTTCACGAACTCGGAAAACTCCGTGACTAAGCGAGGTTCAACGAGCATGAATAAGTAGGCCAATGGGCATTCGTGAGCTGACGTAGGATAGTACAATACATTCTGTCAACAGAGAGCTGATTAAGCAGAAATTAACAGTTTTATTTATATATAACCCGTTTAATATTTGCGTCTGGTAAGTATAATGGTCCCGCAACATTTTAATATATGCGACTACATCGATTATTATAAGGATAAGTCGTATTTCTTCTAATTTAGTTATGTTTTGGTATGTTTTTGTTTTGTTTACATCTAGCGAGGTTGGCGCATGCGCGTAGAACCCCCTTAGAGTGTTTCTCAGCTGTTCTGCACGGAACGGGGCTATTTTGCTGAAATTCCGGAAATTAAACGCGCCGTTAAGGAACAAATCATTATCCGAATAAAAATGTTACTTATTCATTCACGATTTCAGTTGAGCTATTATTAACTATTTACTCAATTATCGAATATTATATTTTGACGCACATAAATAATGTAATGATGAAATTCGTTGCCTCTTTGTAACTGTTATGGTAATTCTCATACAGTGTATTTTCTCGTTTTGTTCATTACAATATATTGCACTTAAGAGGAGGATTTAACATGGCGACCGTCGCGCAAGAAACACAAAGGCTTGTTATTTCACAAAGAATCATTCACCACACGTTGTAAACTGACAGATTTTGGCACATCGCACATTTTTCTTAAGGATTCCCTTACCATATTGAACCACTATGTTGACTTAATAGTTTATAGATTTAATACAAAGGAGGATTTTCTTTCCTCCTCGATTGTGCTATTTCACATGAGTAAAAATAGAAGAGAAAGAAAGAAAAGAAAGAAAACAGCTGCATGTTTTCGCGCGTGAAGCTCTTGGGCATATTCTGTTCATCAAGACAATCGAGTGAACCAATTCACTTCATTAATAAGTTTGAGATAAGCTTCTTCTGGTTTTGGTGTTAAGACAACACAAGGCGTGAATGTCAGCAGCTACTGTCACTATCAGCATTATGCCTGTCCGACACCATGGGCCTTGTGGTGTCAATACCAACTGGATAAGTAAGAATTTTCTTTATTAGATGTCTTTAACAAACTATAATTTAATAAACACATTTTTATACAACTAGATTTTTATAATTAGATCAAGAATAGATAAATCCATTCTAGTTGGCATAGGGCCCTAATTGTCATCTTAATGTATTTTTAGTTAGCCGTAGATTAGGCCTAATAATGAAGATATATTATTATAATTATTAGTTTATTAGTTAGATAATAGTATAATAGATTAGATAGGCTAACGCAACTCATAGTAACTTACTTTGCCATTACCACCAACTAGATGTACTTACCTTGCAAAACAAGTTTCACATTGTGACAATGTGTAAACTACTTTAATTTTAAACTGTAGACTTAAAAGTAGTCAGTCTTTCTTATTATATTTTAAAGCTAAAAAAGCCAAATGCCTTTTTAGGCCTTTTAGATTTTCTCACTAAATCTAAAATTTAGGCCTACTCAATTTTTAATTTAAACATGATCACTGAATAATAGACATCCATATTTAATTCATTAGGTAGTAGGCCGTTCGTTTCAACGCTTCCGGGTTTGTCATTTTCGTGGCATCTCACGGCTCATGCGCTTACTAAAAATGGCGACCAGTTTCGCTTTCACTAAACGGTAGATGGATAAAACTAATAATAACGAGGCCATCGTTAATTTTAGACATCGGAACTATCCGTTTCTATTTCAGTCTGTTATTCAAGAATTCCCAGATGTACTTTTGACCTAATTTCTTTGTTTGTCTCGCAAGCGACGCTTTAGTGAAAATAGCTCTATGAATTCTTGTCTTTTATATTAAAAAAACTCTTACATATCGCTTCACGGGGCAAACCAGCTTATGTCAGATGTAAACTCTAAAGTATTAATTGTACACACATTACAATTAACTGGTAATAATTTATTGTGTTAATGAGATATGTGCGTGGGTAAACGATCACCCCCAATAATGCCATTTTATTATAATCTTGTTTAGTGAAAACGAGGCGCGGGAAAATGTGTGCTGCGCGAGAATCCAATCATTTGGCTAGATTTATGACTTTTTTTATGTCACACCTAAAAATAAAATGTTTACGCTTTCTTCATTGATGATCGTTTTTATTATGTTTTAAACTGAAAGTATGAATTATTAGTTAGATTGCAGGTTTTTAACTTGGTATACTTACCATTTATCAATTTTAAAATCATAGCATCCTGATTGTGTACAAATATACTAATATAGTCATAAAACACAGAAACATTAAGTTATAATTGCGATGTGCCACACCCGGGCCACCCCCCCTCAAGAAAGCATGTGTTTATTAAGCTGTTTATCTCACTTTACAACAGTAATTAAGATTAATTTTCAAATTTTTATCACTTATTGGGTAAGATTAAGCACATGTTTACTAAAAATAAAAAAAAGACAAAAGCAAATTCTGTTTTAATGAAGGTCACGGGTCAAGTTTTTTTTCCTTCTGTCAAGTTCAGTGGAGAATGCCACAGACTGACCTGACTTTGGAATTTTTTTCAGTAATAATAACTTTACACAGAAAGTTAAAATATGCTAAATTAGCTTAGTTTACTAGTGTTCTAGCTATTATTGATACATTTTTAATAAAAAAAATCATTCTGTAATTCTCATCAAAAAGCCTATTAGGTAGGCCTATTTATTTTGAGGTTTTTAGTTCGTTTTAAATTAAATTAGGGCCTACTTAATTTAATATTGTCACTCACAGCTATGCACAACATACCATTCCATCACAACACATGTTATATCACTCATAGGTTTGAGGCCACGGCAAACCATGAATCGGTTCGACTTTTTAATTGACTGCACCAGAGTTCCTCACTAGTGATGAACCAATTAGGGGTCACATGGTTTTTTAAAAATACAAAAAATTGGTTGTGATATGAACGCCGGTCTTGTAATAAAGTGCTCAAAATATTTGATTTCTTTTTTCATAGACTGATAAAACTAATAATGCTTTACTTACTCGTTCACTTTTGTACCTACATCGTTGATATTTTAAAAGCTCTATTAATTTAATGAAACAAACTTTTGAATTCAGCCTCCATTCTCCGAATCAAATTTTAAAATGCTTTTCTGGCATATATAGCCCTGCCACCTATAGTTTGTTTTTATAACATGAAAACCCTATCATTTTCCTCCTGGTAAATATTTTTAACAATAGTTATAAGAAAGTCACTGGAACTAAGAAAAATTGTCAGAAGTCATGCATCCAGTGTAGACGCCATATTGTTGTTAGTAACTGGCCATGCCTCCAGGTTAGCTAGCTACAAATCAATAATACTAATAATAGCAGTGCATACTATACAGTTTATAATCTGAAAACTCACAATTACATGTTGATATGTAATGTTGGGCACAATTGATGGTAGATCTAAATAACTTGTTTAAAAAGCCACTTCCACCTACTTAAATGTGACATGAATAAGACATCTCTTGAATGTCTTTCCTTATACAAAAATGCTAAGTTTCAAATTTAATGGATTCTCAATTTTTAAAGGGTAGGCTAGATCCGCATTTAAGATACAAGAAAAATTGTGATTTGATGGATCTTTAATTTTAAAATATTTAGTTTTTGGTTTGTTGCATACATCACACATTGCTATACCTTCATCCATACTGCATACTTTTCATACATTATTATTATTGTGTTTAAGATCTGTAGTGTTTAGTACACTTTTAGGATATAATTAACTTTTTTTTAGGGTTTTATGTATGACATTTCAAAACATCTTTGATTTTTAAACACACATTCAATTGATGTCTTTGTAGTTTATTTTCATCAATTTTTATAGAGGACCCTGAGGACCTCTGAATATTTAAAATAATCAACGCCCACTGACATATAACTACTGAAATTGTTGGCTTTCAGGTAGTACTGACAATAAATAAATAGACAATTTCTCCACAGCTATCAATATATGACTGAGATTGTTTAATCAATTTGATTATAATAATTCTTATAAATTTATGAAACAGGGCCCAAAATATTTTTCAGTTACCACTGTTAGTGTTTTGGTAGCTGTAACACAAAAATAACCTGGATAAGGCCATGAACCTTTTGTACCTCTCTCTTAGCCACATCATTAATCACTTGTGTTGCGAATAATCCCAACAGATTTAAAAAAAATTGTGTTAGAGATATAAAATGCATTTTTGGTCAAGAACTTAAGAATCCAAGATCATGGTATCAAATTTGTTTATACATCTCAGACAGACATTTATTTATTTAAAAAAATGGGGAGTGATCTCCCCCAAACTTTCTCGAATATTCTTATATAACACCATGGGTGATGGCAACTTGAGATATAGATATGATTTTTAATCTCGTAGAAAAAAAATATGCACACCAAGTGAACAGCATACAATATGTGTATAATAGTGCAAAATATTAGTACTTTATAAATTCATATGCATTTTTTTTGTGTTGAGAAATCGGAAATAGCATATATTACTACTTGCGGTCAACGGAAATGACTCAAAATTTGATAGAAGTCAGAGAATTAGATCTTTTACTTACATGTGAAATTTCATTTATCTATCTCTAACAGTACTCAAATTATAGGCGTTTGAAAAATTGAAAGTAGAATAAGTTCCACTTAGGGTCATCGGAAATGCTGAAAAGCTGATGAAAACCTATAAATTTGAAATAAAATATATATTTATATATGGCAGGAAACAGATTAGTACCGGAAAATGCATATTCGATCTTCGCCGTTCATAAACTTTCTAACCAGACATCGTTCGGGGATTTTGTTTATACTGATAAATAGAGCTATGTTTTTACAAGCTTCGTTAGCAACATTTTTGTGGAATACGTTTTTTATGACATTTTGTGCCGCGGCGAAGGATGCGAAGTATGCAAATCTGGACGGAATGGATCTACTTGGAAAAGTACGTGTACTGCACTAATAAGGTAAGAAATACTATTTTGTAAAAATAACTATTATTTTTATGGATTTTTCATTAGAAATGATTGCTGTAAATTATGAAAGTAAAAAAAAGTATATTTGAATGTGTTTTTTACTTTAATTTGAACAAAGTGAATGGCCATAATTACGACACATCGGCGTCGTTGAAAGCGGGGATTTCAGTTAATTTTTTACGGATATAAAATTGTATTTTTTTCCTCCGAGGCATGTACTTAAATAACAGTTTAGTTAAATGTATTTAATTCTGTAAAATATAAGTATTATTTTGCCGTAGATACTTTAAAAAAATTTTTTTATGATTTTCTGTCGGGGAAAATCGATATTCGCACCATGCACGCACGCGTAGTAAAACTAGACTTATCTTTAAAACACGAGAATCTTGAGTACACTGCGAATAACAAAGTTTTTAAATTTTAGTTTACTTTTGACTTTAAGCCATTTGTTTTAAATCGAAATTAATTGATAATGTAATTATTTCAAAGTAAAAATTTTCCGTCTGATTGGGTTCTAATCTTCGCCCACTGAACCAGCTTACGCACGACATTCGCGCGAGTCTGTTTCTTCGCAATAGTCTGTATAGTGTCGAGGGCTAATTCTAAAAAGAATCGAGTCCTTACTAATCCAATGTTTATTAAAATTAGGTACAATTGTTGGAACGCATGAGAAATAACAAATTAATATTTCTTTAAATCTATAGCCAAAAGAAAGTAGAACTTTATAACTCTGTAAATTATGAATCGAGTAACGGCTGTCGTGAAAACGGGAGCCATTTTACTCTTTTTTTAGGGTGACCTACTTTTATTATATAATTTTAAAATTCATCGATTTGATAAGCAGCTGAGTAGCTGACTACGCATGCGATATGGCTGGCACGTTTTGGGATAGGGATCGAGTACACCATAGAATTTTTTTTTCTTAGAACTAAGCGTATTTTTTTTTAAATCAAAAGATACTTACATATCAGTTGTTGATTTCAATTTCATTATAGATCTAATCACTAACTTCAGTTTTTAAAAGTGATTTTGCATCTAGATCTAGCGTATTTTCAAAATTACGTAAATCTAGATCTATTTTTTAGATCTAGATCTAGAGATCTACTTACTATTTGACAACCGTGTCAGTAAAATGAGGTCAGCGCTTCCAGATTCTTGGGTTTTAATTATGTTTGTCATTTTGATCTATTATAAGTAGCATTAAAACAACTGCATCTATTATCAACATTGTTTTTATATGCCAGTTCTAATTATACATTCTGTTCATTACCAATTCTAATGAAATCGTATCAGGCCCTAACACCCTGTTCACCTACACTGTCCTACACTCCTACACTGACACTACACTTGAAAGACGCCACAGAGAGTCGTAACTTTAAATTAATGTTTAAAGTACTAAACAATTATAATTAGCCATGTAAATGCTGCAACTATATTAAAAATTGGCATATAGACATATTTTATTAATTATGTTTTTTATATAGACCTTCTATATTTAACTCTGTTATTTTTTTCTTCCCCAGAGTGTTTCTAAAAGCCAGAATTTTAAAGGGGAGGGCGGTCGTTTTTTTTCTCAAGAATAATTATAGAAATAAGCTATAAACTGGTATATTTTGTAAAGTTTGACACATTTACAAATAAATGTATGCCTAAGTGACATTTCTGTGTAATTATATTGTTAATTTTGTGAATTTCGTGGATTTTTAGACCTCACTACATTTAGATGTAAAAAAAAATCTCAGTTGAGTGAGTGTGGTTAATCTACATTTTGAACGTGATGTAAATGTCTAGTGCTATTAATTTTTATATTTTTGAATTCCTCGATTGTTAAGCAACAAAATTGATATATAATATGTCAATAATTGTTACTTTGAAAATTGGCGAAAATCGACCCTAAAAGTAGATGCTTGAGGGTTGAATCTGTTTCCTGCCATATATATATATATATATATATATATATATATAAATAAAATTCTCTACATCGGGACCATGCGAGACACCACCAAGACATAAGCTCAACAGACCATATTGCCCCCCCCCCCCCCCACGGGCTGGTGAGCTGTTAACAATAGTAGTGACGACTATTAGGGGCAGATAATTTAGTTTTTAAACTATTTGAAATTAAGGGGAGGTAATAACTTGTTCTGCTGGCGCTTTTCATTGTCGTCTGTAAACTGTTGTCACAGACGGCTGCTTTCATGGAGGCTGTGGGGGGGGGGGGGGGGGGGGGTGGAGGGTGAGGATAATCGTCCTTCATGAGCTACTGATTTTGTTTTAAAGAAAAATATTTTCTGTCGCAGCATTGGTCGTAGTGTCAAATTCACAAATTATGAATTACTAAAAATAGAAATCAAACTAAATATGCTACGTCGCAGGTCAGTTCATATATTAAATTTCATCAACCTAGCTGTAATGGACCTGAAGTTATCGTGTTCACAGACATACACACACATACGTTCAAAATTACAAAACTATGTTTTTCCAACTCAGGGAGGTGTAAAATGTTGATTTTTTTGCATGATTACAATACTTCCTCTATACTTTGTAAACGAGAAAGTAAAAAAGTAATGTACTGATTAAATGCAGGTGTATACAACCAAAGATGTGTTGTTTTTTTGTTGTTGGTATGTAATGAGAAACCTACTTACAGTTGAAGTTTGTTTTGTAAATTTGTTATTTTATGTTATATTTTTAATATTTTACTAATTCACTAATTGTAAATTTTGTCAGATGAAAAATGTTAGGGGGAAAATGCAGAGTTAAATTCATTACTTTTTTTTTTGAAACGCTTTTTAAAATGAGTTATTTATCTGGTTATTCACATTAATAGTGTATGTGGCATTTTTACTGATAGTCTTTATAGCTGCTGTTTATGAACAAAGTAAAGGGGAGTTAGATATTGGTCTTCTTTATTTTATGGGTCATGGTTTGAAAAAAAAAATCAAACGTTGGAATCTTAAAGTCCTTATAAATGGCTTCCAGAGTTAAAAAGAAAAGAAAGCAAAAACAAACACCCTGTTCCATATCCTGCTCCCAGGCAATTACAGGAAATAATGCTAGCTGACAAGAGGGAGGTAATAACTGATAATTTTAAGGAGTTCTTACTTTGCTCATTTGTGAGCATTTAGCCTTGCCTCCTTCTTTTTAAAGGATCTCTTCATTTTTACCTTTTCAACATGAGATTGTGAGGTTTTCTGTTTTATCAAACCTAAAAGAAATTTTAAAAATGTAATAAAATCCCAGCAGAAATAGATTTTTTTTCAAGTGTGTAATCTTGTGTCAGGTCATGTTGAGATGGTAAAAGTGTTATACACCATCAGTAGTCATTTGGTCCAATGATGTGTGAAGCTCCATGTGAAGGTTATACACCATCAGTAGTCATTTGGTCCAATGGTGTGTGAAGGTTATACACCATCAGTAGTCATTTGGTCCAATGGTGTGTGAAGCTCAATGTGTTATACACCATCAGTAGTCATTTGGTCCAATGATGTGTGAAGCTCAATGTGTTATACACCATCAGTAGTCATTTGGTCCAATGATGTGTGAAGGTAATACACCATCAGTAGTCATTTGGTCCAATGATGTGTGAAGCTCAACGTGAAGGTTATACACCATCAGTAGTCATTTGGTCCAATGATGTGTGAAGGTTATACACCATCAGTAGTCATTTGGTCCAATGATGTGTGAAGGTTATACACCATCAGTAGTCATTTGGTCCAATGATGTGTGAAGGTAATACACCATCAGTAGTCATTTGGTCCAATGATGTGTGAAGCTCAACGTGAAGGTTATACACCATCAGTAGTCATTTGGTCCAATGATGTGTGAAGCTCAACCTGTTATACACCATCAGTAGTCATTTGGTCCAATGATGTGTGAAGGTTATACACCATCAGTAGTCATTTGGTGCAATGATGTGTGAAGGTAATACACCATCAGTAGTCATTTGGTCCAATGGTGTGTGAAGCTCAACGTGAGTGTTATACACCATCAGTAGTCATTTGGTCCAATGATGTGTGAAGCTCAACGTGTTATACACCATTAGTAGTCAAGGTTTTACACCATCAGTAGTCATAATGTGTGAGGTTCAGCACTTTTAGGTTGACAGCTACAGACACTTTGAGGAAATGGAAACAAAAAATTCTCTTTTACTAATTTTTCCATATATAATCTATAAAAATCCTTGAAAAAACAGCTGTGTTGTAATAGTAAATTCTTTAATTGATGTAGTTAGATGTTCCCTTAAATGCTGGAAAGTTTGACAATAAGCATCAGTCACAAACCTCTGTAAAACAGAAATGAGCAGGTACATCTTAAACTAATTCAATCAATAAATGAAAGCAAAACGGCCTAACTATCTGGGCCTTAATATGTCAGGTCATGTATTTCTCTCCCAAAACATGACAGCCCAGTCATACAATTGGACTAAATCTTGACCATGTAAGTGAACACCTATTGGAATAAGTAAAGAAGGCTTGTCTGTTACACACTAGCTATCAATCTCATTTATGTGTGGTTCAAAGTTTATAGTTCACTTTTTTTTAATAAGCATAATTATTTTTAATTCCCCTAGAATTTAGTTCATGTTATGATGGTTCTAAAATAGTTAACAGGATGACAGCAAATTATTTGTGAGTCATATTACTGATTTATTAAATCTTTTTGTTTTGTCTGTAACAATAAGCTTGACAATGAAAAGCTGGTTTCAAATGGTTCCGAATTTTTAAAAATATTAGCTTTAAGTTTTTGAAGTGCAACTATTATTTTATCGCTTGCAATATTTTTTCTAAAGATTTCCAAAAAAAAAAATTGAGTATGAGTACATAGACTTATCAAGACTATAGTGACAACTCATCTAATTGTTTTGTCTGTACATGTTAAAAGCTAAAATTGTGCTTGTTAAGCAGGTGGATAGTTTTAGAAAAGTTTTTCAGTACAGTTGATTATATGTAAATGATAAACTGTTTTATTTGTATTGTAGGCATCATGAATATGCCAAACCAAGGCGCACGGCAGGTGTTTCTTTATGATCATGGGCGCCCTCACTGGTCTCAAGGCGGACCCCTCTTCTATGACCGGCGTGTCCCTCCACCACCCCCCCAAATGGGCAACTTTCCAAACCCCCAAATCCAGGGCCCCTCCCCTCAGTGGGTAAGGGGCCCTTTTATTGGAGGTCCAGGTCCTAATCAACAGCAGTTTGATGGGTTTGGTATCATACCATGGGGCAATCAAGGAAACTTCAACAACTATAACAGGTACACTCATACCATTTTTTGCAGCAGCTTTAGAAATGTGTTGTAAACTGCTTTTTTAAAAAAAGTAATAATTTTTCTGTTCTGATATTGAAATGTAATTTTGTTTTGTTACATTTAGGCACAATAATAACCGTCATCAAGGTCGCAATGGTGCTGGTGGAGCTCCTAGAAATAATCGCATGTTGGCTATCAATGCTCGCAACAATCATAGACAGCAGCACAATGACCAAGAGGTACGGTCATTGCATTTAGTTTTGAAAAATTTTCTTTTCTTACACCAGCTTGCTTGGTGAGTGAATTTTCTACTCTTGATTTCCACTTCCAGGTAAGGTATCTGTGCTTTAAATGCGGGGACTACTTGCAAAATTCCCCTGAATCTGGAGTCCATTTGTGTGATGCTGGTGGCCAGAACAACGACTCACGTCTACACTCACACCAGCACCAGAGCCATGGGGGAGTTGGTGATCTACAGCACTACCATAGTGAGGACCTGCAGGCCAGGCTTAGTAAGTTACCAGGCCCAGAAGGTCTCTTACTAGATTTCTTACACCAGGCTCAGTAAGTCACCAGGCCCAGAAGGTCTGTTACTAGATTTGTTACACCATGCTCAGTAAGTTACTAATGCTGTTATACCAGGCCCAGAAGGTCTGTTACTAGATTTGTTACACCATGCCCAGTAAGTTACCAGGCCCAGAAGGTCTCTTACTAGATTTCTTACACCAGGCTCAGTAAGTCACCAGGCCCAGAAGGTCTGTTACTAGATTTGTTACACCATGCTCAGTAAGTTACTAATGCTGTTATACCAGGCCCAGAAGGTCTGTTACTAGATTTGTTACACCATGCTCAGTAAGTTACCAGGCCCAGAAGGTCTCTTACTAGATTTGTTACACCACGCTCAGTAAGTTACTAATGCTGTTATACCAGGCCCAGAAGGTCTGTTACTAAATTTGTTACACCATGCCCAGTAAGTTACCAGGCCCAGAAGGTCTCTTACTAGATTTGTTACACCACGCTCAGTAAGTTACTAATGCTGTTATACCAGGCCCAGAAGGTCTGTTACTAGATTTGTTACACCATGCCCAGTAAGTTACCAGGCCCAGAAGGTCTGTTACTAGATTTGTTACACCATGCCCAGTAAGTTACCAGGCCCAGAAGGTCTGTTACTAGATTTCTTACACCATGCCCAGTAAGTTACTAATGCTGTTATACCAGGCCCAGAAGGTCTGTTACTAGATTTGTTACACCATGCCCAGTTAGTTACCAGGCCCAGAAGGTCTGTTACTAGATTTGTTACACCATGCCCAGTAAGTTACTAATGCTGTTATACCAGGCCCAGAAGGTCTGTTACTAGATTTGTTACACCACGCTCAGTAAGTTACCAGGCCCAGAAGGTCTGTTACTAGATTTGTTACACCACGCTCAGTAAGTTAATAATGCTAATATCCCAGGACCAGATTAGGGGGGGGGGGGGGGTGAGGACCATAAAGTGGGGTGATACCAGCGTAAAAATTGATATATATATATATATATATATATATATATATATATATATATATATATATATATATATATATATATATATATATATATATATATACACATATATACACACCTGACCTAGGAAAGCCACTAGTGCTCCTACACCTGACTCTGTCTGCTACTAGTGCTATTATACCAGACCAAGTAGGTCAGCTACTAGTGCTATTATATTAGGCACAGTTATTACTGGTATACTCCGACTAAGTACAAACATAAAATTTATCAGTGAAATTGTAGAAACCTTCCACCACTGATTTGAAATGATTTGATTACTTACAAGTGTTGTTATTGTAGAAGTTTTCCACCACTGATTTGAAATGATTTGATTACTTACAAGTGTTGTTATTGTAGAAGCCTTCCACCACTGATTTGAAATGATTTGATTACTTACAAGTGTTGTTATTGTAGCAGCCTTCCACCACTGATTTGAAATGATTTGATTACTTACAAATGTTGTTATTGTAGAAGCCTTCCACCACTGATTTGAAATGATTTGATTACTTACAAGTGTTGTTATTGTAGCAGCCTTCCACCACTGATTTGAAATGATTTGATTACTTACAAGTGTTGTTATTGTAGAAGCCTTCCACCACTGATTTGAAATGATTTGATTACTTACAAGTGTTGTTATTGTAGCAGCCTTCCACCACTGATTTGAAATGATTTGATTACTTACAAGTGTTGTTATTGTAGAAGCCTTCATGGAGGAAGCCAAGGTTGCTGTCAGCTCTGATGTGAAACTGTCTCAAGAGGATGTCCACAAAGTTTGTTTGGAAAGGGCAGAAAAGTTTCTTTCTCTCTACAGCCAGGTATTTTCACAGTTTCATTCAATCTTTGCACTTTATTTTTGGTTAGAGCTTGAAGTAAATATAGACTGAGTCTTGTATTGATTTAATGTTAATGTATACAAAAACCAAGTCTTAAAATGATTGTAATTTTGAGTTCAGTGTTGACAAAAACTGATTTTATATGATTTAGTCTTGAATGTTTGTAACCACCTACTTCCAGCTGCAGAGTGAGCAGTTGTCCTTGCAGCAGCAGCAGGAATCACTAGAGGCACAGAAGAAGGAGCTGGAGCAGAGAGATGGGGAGCTAGCAGCTTTACAAAGTCGCTTGGAAGAAGACAGGAGCAAGTTATTAAAAGAATGTAAAAAAGAAAGGGAAGAAATAGCTCGCAAGTGGCAAGAATTGAAAGATGAAATAAGTCGAATGGAGGAAATGCACACAATGCAGAAAGTATGTTACTTGTGCTTAGCACATTGAATAATTTTAATAGCACTTTGATAAGCCTTATTTTGGTCCCAGTTGGTATTTAATCATGTACACTTTTGTACAGGGGCGTGTACGGCTTGATGTGGGAGGCAGTGTGTTCACAACCTCACGTTTAACATTGACTCGGGATGCAGATTCTATGTTGGCAGCCATGTTCAGTGGCAGACACCACATCACACAGGAGGCTGATGGTACAGTGTTCATAGACAGGGATGGTACTCACTTCAGGTCATTAGAAATAGGCTATTTGTCTGGTACTGGTTACATAAGGCTTGGTGGATGTTTGAATACCTGTGAGAACTGTTTTGCCTCTCTTTATATTTGTGTGGTACTGGTTACATAAGGCTTGGTGGATGTTTGAATACCCGTGAGAACTGTTGTGCCTCTCTTTATATTTGTCTGGTACTGGTTACATAAGGCTTGGTGGATGTTTGAATACCTGTGAGAACTGTTGTGCCTCTCTTTATATTTGTGTGGTACTGGTTACATAAGACTTGGTGGATGTTTGAATACCTGTGAGAACTGTTGTGCCTCTCTTTATATTTGTGTGGTACTGGTTACATAAGGCTAGGTAGATGTTTGAATACCTGTGAGAACTGTTGTGCCTCTCTTTATATTTGTGTGGTACTGGTTATATAAGGCTAGGTAGATGTTTGAATACCTGTGAGAACTGTTGTGCCTCTCTTTATATTTGTGTGGTACTGGTTACATAAGACTTGGTAGATGTTTGAATACCTGTGAGAACTATTGTGCCTGTCCACAGGTACATCTTGAATTACCTGCGTGATGGTGGCGTGAACCAAGACAGTTTGCCCAGGGATCGCCAAGTGCTCAAGGAACTCAGAAATGAAGCTGTCTATTTCCAGCTCAATGGTTTGGTTCAGACCATTGAGAAGTTTTTGTAGAATTAGCCATGATAGATTGGTGTTGAGGCTTGGACAACCTTTAGTCACTAGCTCTAATTGTGTCAATAGTTGAACAGCACAGATGCTGCTAATGGTCAAAGGCACATCATTTTTTGTAGTTTGTGTATCCATGTAAAAAGTGCTGTGCTTTTCATGGCCTCATCTGATCAATGTACTACTTGTGTTTGGTAGAATCTGTGCTACATCTTGATGCCTACTTTGATCTCGTAAGGGTTTATTTTTTTCGCATGTTCATCATGAAAGTAATTCTTACATCTGCAATAAGTTTATTTTTGTAACATCTTGTTGATTTCCAAATCTCTCAAGGCTTTAATTCTCTCATATAGCTATTGGCACATCTTCATTAGCTATGGTTTAGATATAGCTATTGGCACATCTTTACTAGCTATGGTTTAAAAACTGGAGAACAAACAATTGAAACTCAAAAACAAGTCTACTGAAGTATTATTGTTAAATGAGACTGAGATAAAAAGAGAAATGATTGCATACACAAGTCAAGACAGAACATCACTAGAAACATGAGACGACGACAAGCACGAAGTTCTAAACAGTCCTGGTTGATAGATTTAGGAACATACCATTGGATTAGCAAGTCAAACAAACAACAGCGGCACTGATTCTTTGTTCCATTGAACAATGATTTTGTTTTTAATCTTTGAAGATTTGTATCAAGTTGTTGCCATGTGCTTCACTTGCTGTTTAGTCCAGTACTTTTAATAACATCAATTCTGCTTTTAATTACTACATTTTTATTTTTTCTTTGATTAACAAGTTAAAGGTTTCTAACCTTTTATATTTGCAACCCTTTTAACTGAAGAACAGTTGTCTATTTTAAGTTTACAACAAAATTGTTAGCTAGTAAAAATGAATGCAACAAATGTTTGTGTATGGTGTTAAGAAGAAACTATTGAAGACAGTGCCAAAACATAGTCAACTTTGTGGAATGGCTCAAATGGCAGCCCTCTATTTGTGTTTCTTTCTTCATTGTATTGGTGCTTACTTTCAAAACATTTCCCTTTCTAAGGAAAATTCCTAACATTTTTTCTTCAAATAGTATTTTTAGATGTGTTAGAGAGACAGTTTCTCCAATGTGTATCCAAGCACTGTTCTAAAGTTTCTCCATACGTCTGTAATTAACTTTCTTTTTTGACAGTGGCACACCTTGTGTAATCTTCACATATGAAACAAAAAATATGTCCACCTTTGTTATTAACAATATCTTTTGTATCAAGTATTCCAGTTGCTAGTTTTGTCTTAATATAAATATATCCATATATATCTTTATATTGAAGCTATTGTATTGAGTCTTGAAGAAAATGTTGTACACTTTGCATGCTGTAACTGGTGGTGGTAGTGTTGAATCCGTCTAGTTCAATTGGTTTTTTTCTCTTGTATCTTCTATACATTTTGGTCTCAAGTTTTGGACTCACTTGTTTTAAATTATTTCTTCAATTTTCTCTTCCATGCAAAAAAAAAACCAGACAAATGAATATTAGTCTTGCATTTTGTGTCAAACTTTCCTTTTTATTTACAAAGCTTGAGGAAACTTTGACACAAAACCACTTGTGCTTCTAGATGACAAATTCTCCACTTATTCCTACTCTCCCAGTTAAAGATATCTTTTTTTTTTTTACCTTGAATATCAGTATTTCAATTTTTTTCATGTTGTGAGTAGTTGCCTTAAATTAGAAGCTTGCTTCAACTGATGATATTTATTTATTCCACAATCACCTTGTTACCAGAGTTTTTTAAACAAATTTTTATCTCTATGATTACATTTGAACGTGTGCAAGTGGGTAAGCTGCATGTGGTTGTGCTGATCCTGTGGGTTATGCTCCCTGCACTCAGCTGCTAATCACAGCGCCTGCCCAAGTCTTCTCATTTAGCTCTCCATATCACGTGTACTGTTGCTTGATGTTAGCTAGATTTTTTTTCGTTTGGGCAAGAATGAATTTTTTTTCATCTTTAATTTAGCTGTGATAAAAGTTACTTTCATCTTCATTATTGGCCATGATTGTTGTTTTTTTTTTTTTTAAATTATAATTTTGCTTTATTTTGGCTGTTTTGTATAGATGAAGTTAATGCCCTGCTCTTACTGGTGTCACACATTTCTTAACCCCGACCAAAAGCTGTGAGCACTCTGTCATGTTTCTCTTTAGGTTTGAGCAACAGTTGTGTTGGGCGGTGGTCACAGGAGTATTTTGTACATTGGGAATGTAATGAAAGCCTTCAATGCAAAAGTCTCAGGGTCACCAAGAGTACATGCTGTGTGCCATCCACTCCCAACACCCGCTCCACTCTCTGGGGCTACAGCAACCATCATCTATTGGATTTTGTTGCCTTGCAATGCCAGCTTTTTTATTTATTTTGGCACGTCTGCTTCAGATGTTAAACATTGTCAAGATTTTTACTCTAGCCATTCTTTATACTTAAAAGAAAGAATTATTTTTCCTAATGCTTTTCACAGTTGGGGCTATTTAAAGTAACGTTATGGTAGTCTTGATTATTTTATCAAAAAATTGTTCCTAAAAAGTATTTTGGCTGTGTGAATTTTAATAACTGATTGCTCATTTGCTCCCATTTCTAACCGTATGTAGCAATGGTATATAATAGAGCTTGTTTAACAGTATGGGATATATATATATTTATAATGTATAGCTTTTTTTGAAGGACTAACACTGTTGGCAATGATAATCATGAATTCCATTCTATAATCTCATTAGCTTTTGTCTGTAGAAATGTTGTATTTCCTCATTATCACTATTAACATAGCTACCTTTGATATATTCATACAGATAATAGAATTTGCTTTATATACTCATATTTTGGAATTTTGTTACGGTTGACAATTGAGTTTATTGCTAACTTTATTGTCACGGTTGACAATTGAGTTTATTGCTAACTTTATTTTCAACCCCCTTGTTTTGCTATCACTTTGTTTACATTTGTTGGAGTATTAACTTTTTTAATTAACCTCAGCCTTTCTCACTTGATACGACCTATCTGTCTCTGTGTAAAATGTTTGATGAAAGTGGATGTTGCCTTACTGGCTCCAGCTTTGTAACTCAAGGCATCTCTATGTGCCTGCTTCATGTCACTGACTTGTGCTGTTAGAGTGACACACAATGTTGTATTGTGTGAGGGAACCCCAGGACACAATGTTGTATCATGTGAGGGAACCCCAGGACACAATGTTGTATTGTGTGAGGGAACCCCAGGACACAATGTTGTATTGTGTGAGGGAACCCCAGGACACACAATGTTGTATCATGTGAGGGAACCCCAGGACACAATGTTGTATTGTGTGAGGGAACCCCAGGACACACATTGTTCATGTGAGGGAACCCCAGGACACACGTATTGTGTGAGGGAACCCCAGGACACAATGTTGTATCATGTGAGGGAACCCCAGGACACACAATGTTGTATCATGTGAGGGAACCCCAGGACACAATGTTGTATTGTGTGAGGGAACCCCAGGACACAATGTATCATGTGAGGGAACCCCTTGTAAAACAGCAGCAATTTCCAGGACACCTAATGTTGTATCACGTGAGACCTGTTATAAACTTAGCCATATTCCAGATATTTTTGTGATTGTTTGCCACAGCAGCTCTTTGTATCATAGTTTTTGTTTTGAGCATGACAAGAAAATATCTTCCTTTTTCTCCATTTTACAGTTGTAAAAAAGTTTGAATATTTGATCAAATAGCTCTAAGCAAGCAGTGAAAAAAGTATTTAGCAAATGGCAGGCCATGATATTTGCAGTGAGAGAGTTTGCAGCAGCTGTAGAAGCTCCACTATGTGTTCACTTGTTTGCTCTAGAGAAGATAGTGTCTCAGTGCTCTCCTAATGGGGTGGGCGCAGTCGTTGAACACTGCTACTGGATTCAGTGCTCTCCTAATGGGGTGGGCGCAGTCGTTGAACACTGCTACTGGATTCAGTGCTCTCCTAATGGGGTGGGCGCAGTCGTTGAACACTGCTACTGGATTCAGTGCTCTCCTAATGGGGTGGGCGCAGTCGTTGAACACTGCTACTGGATTCAGTGCTCTCCTAATGGGGTGGGCGCAGTCGTTGAACACTGCTACTGGATTCAGTGCTCTCCTAATGGGGTGGGCGCAGTCGTTGAACACTGCTACTGGATTCGGCTACTCATGGCCTAAATTAAACGGGACCTTGGGAGAAGTCATAGATTCGCATGTCATTTTTAAATCCCCCCTCCTCCCTGGATGATTTGTGATTTCTCCTCACTGTTGCACACACTTGTCTTGTTTCTTCCCTTCTCCGTGTATAGAGCATACGTAGGCAGCTTATTTTATATATACTTAAAGCTCAAATCAGGACAACTTGAGACTGCTCCTTGTGTTTGCACTTATACCAAATGCAATAAAAAAAGCATTATTCATTAGCAAATATTTTCTCACATTGTTACTGATAAGTGCTTGTTACAATGGCACCATGATGTGTACCCAAGGAAATTTTTGTCATGTTTTATTCCAACTGTTTGCTCAGTGCTGTTCTAATGAGAGATTTACATTTGATATCATATCGTAGCATTTTAACAAGCATTTATTTTTTCCACACTGATTTTTTCACATGTATTTTTTTTCTTTCTAATCTTAGCTGTCGTATGTATTTGGGTGGCCCATATTACTGGTGGTAAACATTAGTCCATATTTATATGTAAATATTATATATAGATGATATATTTTGCAATTGTGAAGAATAATCAAAGATTTTTCCTGTCTCTATATTGTAATGATGATGATTTTTTTTGTTTGCTAGTCAGGTTGTCTTACCTAGTACAGCTTTTCATGTGTGTATCCATGCAAGCTCCTATTTATATTCTGTCTTCCTACACTGCAATCAAAAGGCCTTGTGTTTTAGTTCATCCGTTCTGTGACCCTAGCTTTTGTGTGAAGAGCTTTTTATTTTCACCTGGGGGACCTTCTTTAAATGCATTGGGTAATTTATCAGTACCAATTTCTGTTAAATGTAACCAGTTACTTTGCCAATTTAGGGGATTTCCATTTATTGATTTTTACTTTTGAGATTTTTTCTTCAGCTTGTCAATGAAGGTTGGTGTCCCATTTTTTGCGCTGCTCCATGTTATTGTTTGATTTCCATTTCTCTTACTGCCAAAGATTTGGGCTTGTTTGGTGCAAGCAGCTAGTTTGTTTGCAGTGTGAGGTCCTACGCTAGTTGCCCATGGTGCTGTCCCATCCCTGGGTTGTATGGGTTCACTCAGGGTTTGTGAGAGCCATAGAAAGATGTAGGGCCTGGGTTGTATGAAGCTCCAGCTGCTAGAGAGATGTAGGGCCTGGGTTGTATGAAGCTGCTAGAGAGATGTAGGGCCTGGGTTGTATGAAGCTCCAGCTGCTAGAGAGATGTAGGGCCTGGGTTGTATGAAGCTGCTAGAGAGATGTAGGGCCTGGGTTGTATGAAGCTCCTGCTGCTAGAGAGATGTAGGGCCTGGGTTGAATGGGTTCACCCAGGGTTTGTGAGAGCCAGAGAGAGATGTAGGGCCTGGGTTGTATGAAGCTCCAGCTGCTAGAGAGATGTAGGGCCTGGGTTGTATGAAGCTCCAGCTGCTAGAGAGATGTAGGGCCTGGGTTGTATGAAGCTCCAGCTGCTAGAAAGATGTAGGGCCTGGGTTGTATGAAGCTCCAGCTGCTAGAGAGATGTAGGGCCTGGGTTGTATGAAGCTCCAGCTGCTAGAAAGATGTAGGGCCTGGGTTGTATGAAGCTCCAGCTGCTAGAGAGATGTAGGGCCTGGGTTGTATGAAGCTCCAGCTGCTAGAGAGATGTAGGGCCTGGGTTGTATGAAGCTCCAGCTGCTAGAGAGATGTAGGGCCTGGGTTGTATGAAGCTCCAGCTGCTAGAAAGATGTAGGGCCTGGGTTGTATGAAGCTCCAGCTGCTAGAGAGATGTAGGGCCTGGGTTGTATGAAGCTCCAGCTGCTAGAAAGATGTAGGGCCTGGGTTGTATGAAGCTCCAGCTGCTAGAGAGATGTAGGGCCTGGGTTGTATGAAGCTCCAGCTGCTAGAGAGATGTAGGGCCTGGGTTGTATGAAGCTCCAGCTGCTAGAGAGATGTAGGGCCTGGGTTGTATGAAGCTCCAGCTGCTAGAGAGATGTAGGGCCTGGGTTGTATGAAGCTCCAGCTGCTAGAGAGATGTAGGGCCTGGGTTGTATGAAGCTCCAGCTGCTAGAGAGATGTAGGGCCTGGGTTGTATGAAGCTCCAGCTGCTAGAGAGATACTATGTTCCATGTAGGCCATCAAGAGTAGGCTGCTATACCAAGAATGCCTTATTTCTTCTAGTGTTGTGATCTTGCTTTCTTCCCTCATTTCTCACCATATCAGATGAAGAAATCATAGAGAATAATTTTTCAAACTATTTATTGAAAGGCAATGTTTACATGGCAAATAGCTAAAAGATATAATTCCTTTTCAAATGTTTGAGATGAACAGGCGCCCGCTATTTTGGTCAGCTTTTTCTTTCCTTTAATGACCGGTCTTTGCTTGATGTTTCACTTTTTAAACTAAGATGTATGTTGTGGAGTTTTGATTCATTCTAGCTTGTATTGGACTTGTCCCCATCATTAGCCCACACTGCACCAGTCTCAAGGGGTGAGTCAGGGATCTTCCACTTTGATGCTTGTAAAATTGGCATGTATCCTGTACTTTCTTATGCTGTTACATTTGGACTCTAAAAAAAAGATTGGATTCCCCAGTTGAAATTGCCTTCTGTAGTGTGGGTGGTGATTAGCAGTAGATGCACACAAAAAATGATTGATTCAACTATTTCTTTCCATGCCATGAACAAATGAGAGTGCTTTGTTCTTTGATTAGAATGAGTTTGCTCAACATGTATATGCAATAATTGTTTGTTTTGTACTCACCGAGCTAAGCTAATAGTATTTGGGACATCTTGACATCAGCTTTTTTTTATACTCAGCCCAGTATTGTAGATCCCAAGTGAACTGTCAGTGGTAGCCTTAATGTTGGTCCATTTCTTATTTGATTACTTTTTAATTCTTACCAAGATTGATCAAAATGTTTATTGTGCCGTGCTTCTCCAGTTTGTCAAATGTACTTGTCACATATTTGCTACATATCAGCTTGCATGCCCAGTCAGTTGGGGAATGTCTCCTAAGATTGCCACTATTACAAGTGTAAAAACCAAAATGTATATTCTGCAACTGACATTATACATCAACTGTGACATTTATTCATTATTTAGTTTTTTATTCTGCAAGAGGGCTCCTTATCTTGAACCACTCCTAACCATTTTCAGCTAACCAGATATTAATTGTAAGGTTCTACATTGTCACTGCATGCCTCTATAGTGACGCGGATCTTCCATGGTGAAAGATAAGGAGTCCTCCCCTGGTAGCAGTAGCCTTTTGTTATGTGCTGAATATACTTTGATCCAGCCACCACTGGCTTTTATTGAGTACAAGTTTGCTCTGGCTAGCATCTCTTAAGCTGGTCTTTGTAAGAAAACACTGGACTCAATCCCACTTTTGGCAATAGAGCAGAAAAAAAGCATAATCATTTTTAAAAATACAATCCTTTTGTGTTCATTGACTTGATCCAAGTAGGTTCAGCATCATAAAAGTTTTTAAGTGCTAATTATTAACAATATATATGGTTGTGAATTTTCATTTTTTAGCAGTATCATATTGCACGTTTTTATCTCTAAATCTTTATTAATATGAATGTCAAAGATAAAGGCATATTCTATTTTGTAATAGTTGAATTTTATAAAGCATTTTTAAGCATTCACAACTGCTCTGATGTTGTCATTGGAATAGTTTTCTATCATGGGATAGCACCTTGGGTGTAGTACATGAGAGAACTTTCTTCCTTGCACCATCTTCACACACTGTGGGCACTGTATTTGATTTCCTTGCCTATTGAAGGACAACTTGTTTTCATTACCAAATATTATCCACATATTGATATATTGCTATAGCTATTTACATCCATAGAGGTTTTTAATATTACTAGTAGATTCCTATCTATTTTTGTACTGTAAAATATCCCACTTATATTTTGTCTGTTAAATTAGCATTGAGTGGTATTTGATATTGTTTCAAAATTGAGTGCATTGTCTACTACCAAAGGCTACATGGTTTGACCTTATATATGAACACAATTTTTTAAACACTTTTTGCTTTTAAGTTTTTAACAAGTTTTATCAATTTAAATTTTTAACTTGACATTTTGGGAGGTTTTATTTTAATTTAGAAAACTTTTGACTTTCAAAAACATCCTTCCATTTTTCTGTAAGATAGATAGATTTTATTTAAATTTGTAAAGAATGTTTTTCAATACTTCTTATCCAGATTTATTGGGTTGTTTCAAGTTTGAGCAGTTGTTCAATTGCTTTTTCAACTTTTCACGTATAAAACTATTTGGTACTTAATTGGGTTAACCTTTGAACTTCACTTGTAGATCCTGTGGATATCAGCCTAAACACAGCTTGTTTAAATAACTTGAATCAGTAGATGCAGCTTTTTTCTAATAATCCGAGTAATAACTACATTTGCTGACTCACACTATTTGGAATTGTATTTTCATAAAATGGCTTTAAAACATTGTTAGTTAAGGGGTTGGTTTTTTTTCCCATCACCTGTTTTATCATTATAATATTGCTAGCTAGCTTGTGTGTCTAAGATAAAGGAGAATTGTTATCAAATTTTGTTCATTTAGTTTGCGTGTATGAGTGGTGTAGAGTTCCTGACCAGCATAGTTGTCTCCCCTTTGTTACTTAATTGGTCATTCCTTTTATCAAGAGAATTGTAATTTCCACACCAGCTTCAATTGACTAGATAACTTTGTTGTTAGTTTATCTGCTTTTATTTTTTTACACATTGTTCCCTCGTTTTCTTTTGGTCATGCTGTGTTGCATTGGAAAATCAATTTGATTTTTTTTTTTTTTATGATTACATTATATTATACATACTTATATTTATATATACAAAGGACCACATTTACCTCCGCTATTTGTTGTTTACATATTATAGTGATTTGTGAAGGCTCATGTAATCGGTGCATTTTAAAATTAGAACTTTAAGAGGGAGAATTGTCACATCCTTATTGGGTAAGAAAATGTGGGTGTCCACTAGTTGAAGTGGTATTTGATGTAATAAGCTCATGGTGGGTGAGCAAGATGTGACAGAGCTGCCTCATCACGTTTGTTCAACTTTTCCAGCATTTTATTTTGTAATCTTAACTCTATTCTATAACCCACATCTTGTGTTAAGCCCAGTTAGCAAAATGAATGCATCTTCTCAGTAGATATTCCAAATATTCAATTGTTGATCTATTTTTGTTATAACTTGTGTGGTAGTCGTGTGTGAGAAAGTTGCTTTAAAAGTTGTACAGCTTCAACAATATCGATTGAACTAACAAATAACAAGGTTGTTTGATAGCTTTTTTGTTTTTAAAAAGTAATACCTGTCCCACAAAAAATGGAAATAGTCATTTTATTCAACTATTTTACAGTATTCTTTTTTTATGAACTATTTTGATGCAATCAATATGACTAATCCGTCTCAAAAAGTGTATGCACTTTAACATGATAATCTTTACAAAGCATCAGTTTTTTTCTAAATTGCAAATTTTCTCATGACAAAACTTGAATGCAGGAAATGCTTTGTTTTTCACATTGATTTTTTTAGTACATTCTTAATATTCCATATATATTTTAACCCTCATTTAAGCACAAATTATTTTGAACAAGAGATGAACCTGTATTTATTCAAACGGTTATTCCCCATTGTGTGTGCTGTGAGTATACATCTCTGCTGTTCTGTGCTAACATATATCAAGTTTGGATCTCTGTGCAATAAACCCTGTAGTCCATTTTTTTTATTTGCCATCTTCCATTATGTATTTAACTGAGCTAAACCTCTCCTACCTAAGTGTTTAACACCTAGTTAACTGAGCTAAACCTCCCCTACCTAAGTGTTTAACACCTAGTTAACTGAGATAAACCTCTCCTACCTAAGTGTTTAACACCTAGTTAACTGAGCTAAACCTCCCCTAAGTGTTTAACACCTAGTTAACTGAGCTAAACCTCCCCTACCTAAGTGTTTAACACCTAGTTAACTGAGCTAACTTCTCCATTTACTTACCAGAGCTTTGTGTAGGCGGTGAGAAAGTTTCCACATAACTGTCTGCCTGACTGAGCCAGACCCATGAATACCCAATGTCCTTTGTTGATTGTTACTTTAGCTCTCACCAGTTGCTGTTACTTGCTTATTTACTTTGATAGGATTTACTTTTGGCTTTACAAATTGTGTCTAGTTGCTGAGGTGTCCTGTTTGAACACATTTTTATAATCAGTCAGTTTACTTAAAACTTTCTTAGCATGAACTTTATTTGTTTGTTATTTTTAGCAGTTTAAAATTTGTACACATTGTTATGCCTGCCATCCATAGTATGAAGGAGCTACAAATTTTCTTTGCCTTGGGGAAAGGTGTATTTATGCATATATACATAGATGTGTTTTTACGCTTGAGTAACCTCTGTAGAATGGTGGAAAAAGATGCATTCATTTTGATGTAGTGTGTACATGTGTTGTGTCAGTCCAGTTTTGGGTGTGGTGACAGGACAGCTTTGGGTGTCGTGACAGCAGATTTGACTGAGGTTTCCAATAGTTAACATTAGCCAAGTGCAAGATGGTGTTGCTGCTAAACATGGAGCTGAAACCTGACTTGTCTCAAAGGGCAGACCAACCAAAACCCTCAGGAGATCTGTGCCCCACCCACCAACCATAATATTGTAGCTCTAGTTTAGCTCTCAACATGTTGTTATAATCACTCCTATATTGTACTTTTTTTTAGTCCATTCAATCATTTCTTTTTGAAGTTTTGTGTGTCCATGCTTAGGATGTGGGTTACTTAATACTAATGCTAGAATATATCATTGCTATTGTTATTTAAACTAGAGCAGATATTATATTAATATAGTATATAAATCTAATGACATAAGGGTTAATTCTGGTGCAAACTGAATTAGATATTTTAAAATCTAAACTTAGTCATTCTTGCTATTGTTATCAATGGTCACAATATTTTTGCATTTTCAACTCTGTCAAAATGTAATGAAGAGAGACTACTACTGCTCTTGCTATTTTTTCATGTGTACTGTGTGTGTCTAGTGGCAGTCGTTGTATGGTCAGTTGTTAGTCCTGACTTGGTCTATTAGCATCTTTAAGCTTGGAATCACTTTAATAGCTGTTCAGATGAAAATATTTTGGTGTTAGGAAAGCAATTTGCCTCAATATTTAGTCACTTTATCTCCAAAAATTGACCTTTGACAGCAGAGATTTTTTTCTTGGGTTCATTCCCCAGTATATAGTGGTTAAAGGTTTTTTTCATACATTTTATCAGTCTGTGGCATGTAATTGGATTTATTATTAGATAGATATTATATTACACATTTTATTTATAAGGACCATTTTTTTTCTTTAAAATTTTTTGAATGAGGAGATTACTTTCATACATTTTTAATTTTTAGTTGTTGCACACAACAGCCTAACTATCAAAGTTTTTATATTGAAAATAATTCAAAGTGATGGATTTTGTAGTCAAAATTTAAAAAAAAAAATGTGATGAACAGAAACCATCCTGTCCATCTTTCCAATAATTTTTGATTGCTCTAATGACGTCAGCCAGACAGTATCTTGAGGGATCATCCTTCTGCCTGTCAGTATTATCCACAATCTTTTGGCCATTATGGTTAACTTGTAGTATGTGCTGGTCTATTGTATTCAACATGTACAAGTACTCTAGCTATCATGTATTATGTCTAAGAAAGACAAGTTTTGGTCCTGTAACCTTTTGGAGTAATGCTGCACCCCCCAATCTAACCTGGATGTTTGTTTCTACTTGCCAAGGTCAAATAAATAGAGAAAAAATACACTGTCTTGTCTTGTGTTCATTTGCATGGTAGATCTTTTTCATTAAGCACCAATTAAAAGAACGTTAATTACGTGTGCATAACGGAGCGGAAAATTGAGTAGGTCTACTTTATAAAGGAAAATTTTATTCATTTTTAAAAAGCTAATTAACCATCCAATTAAATATTTTATGTGGCATTGTTATCGAGTCTTGACCTAAGTGAAAAGTTAGAAACAAATTGGTCCATTGGAAGAAATATTTTTGAAAAAACATCCAAAATAAAGTGCTACTTCCGGTTACCGGACATCACTCAACCGCCCAAAAGTTAATAGAAAACTACCACAAATTTCGTCAACATAGCTGATACGCTAGTCAAATTATCTTGTTTACACACACATACAGGATTTTAAAAAATAAAAAAATTAAGTTATTCCTGCTCCGGAAAGTAAAGATTTGTCAAAATCTCGATTTAGATCTGTGCATGATTACCAGTGGCGTAGGAAGGGGGGGGGGGGGGGGGGGGGGGTACAACCCCCTCCCCCCCCTCCACGGACCACTCGGTAAATTTTTTTTATTGTCATAATACCACTGTTACTTATTTAAATATATTTCTGAATCCGTATATATGTATAATTGTATATGTATGTTTAGAACAGTCACCTAAAAATTGACGCTATTTTCACTCTGAGTTGGTTATTCCCCCCACCACCACCACCAGAACTGGACAGGCCGTTATTGCGTAGAGCCAGTGGCGTAGGCAGGGGGGGGGTCATAACCCCCCCCCCCATAGACCCCTCGGTATATATATATAAAGTTTGAGGGGGGGGGTGCAAATTGAAAGTTTGAGGGGGGGGGGGGGGTGCAAATCGAAAGTTTGTCCCCGGGTAAAAATTGGACCCCCCCACCCCCACCCCCCCCCCCCTTGAGACGATTCTGGCTACGCCACTGCGTAGAGCGACATTAATGTCACACCTAGGTATACGCTGAATAAGATGATAGACCTAAATTGACCGGACAGTGGTGAATGAAGTTGAACCATCTTCCCCCCCCCCCCCCCAACACACACAACCCGAACTGATGTGTTGAATACATTTGGAAAAACGCGTAATGAAATACGAAAGTACCATGCCTCCAGAATCGTAGCTTTTGAAACAGGTAAAACTTTAAAAGTATTGTTTTTGCCAGAAAAGGTGTGTGAGCATTACAGTGATCTAACCCACACCTTATCATTATATATGTTAAAAATGATCTTTAAAGAACACAAAAAGCAGTAGCTAATTAAAAACGTATGTCCTGAACTGCAAGACCAATATTTTAGTTATATTTTGGCTATTATTCAGAATATTCCACCTATAAAATATAGTTGTTTTTTTTCTATTAGAACGAAAAGCGTGGTTTTATACCAACTCTGATTTAAAAAACTTTCATTATGCTGTGATGTTTTAGCCCCCCACCCCACCCACCCCCATGTGACGATCCTGGCTACGCCACTGATGAATAGAAGTTAGAACGCATCTTATTCTTTTTTTTACACATACGATAAAGTGGGGAGGTGTAAAATGGCGAAAACTGTCAAATCTCATTGAATTTTCGGGCACGATTACAATACTTTCTCAGTACTCTGTATAGATCCATGAGAAGGTAAATAGTTGTTTTTTTTTAAATTTATGGACCATTTAAACCTGTACTATAATAGTATAATACACTTCTAACAAATTGTTTTCAGTATCGAAGGTGGAACTTCCGCTATGATTTATTTTTTTAACTTCAAGTCAAAATTAACTGTTGTTTAAGTTTACACATAAAACAACAGCGAACGAAGTGTAGTGTAGTAAACATTTCTTTATGATAAGAGGGAGCCAGCTTATCTCAGATTACATATAATAATTTACCTCTTTAATATTTTGTATGTACAGTAGCATGGATAAACTAAAAAAGGCTCTTAGCGGTGATGATGAGGAAGATAAAGGAATTGTAACTCAGGTCAGTCCACACCCAGCCGCAGGGTCCCTTGTGGCCACTTGTGGGTGAAAACCCCATTTTATGATTTTAGCGTATTTTATTCCCCGCTTCACGTTCACCTCCAGTTTAGCGTATTTTATTATAAACACAACCGAAACACACAAAAACATTAGGAAAGCACTAGGACTAGGGCTAGAGTAAAATTCCACGTGCGGTTAAAACCCGGGTGCGGCCATCGCCTGTTTATCGCTTCGTACAATATTTGTTTTGATGTTTTATACGAAACTACCGATATCTGCTGTAAACCTGTCCATTTCTAAATATATCCAGGTCAAAATCTTTTGTTTTTCTCCTTCTGGAAGTCGAGTTTTTAAATTTTAAAGTTTCGAGGTATGACGTCGTAGGCGATTCTAGTTCCCTGTATGAAAAACACTAGGTCCCGGATGAGATGAATAAACCAACCAATCAAAGCTTTTTATAACTAGGTTAACTATAAATAGCTTCTACAAAATGTGCGGGACACTGTACATACGACAGATAAGGCTAATAAAGCAACCTGATAGATGAATAGGGGTGGCCGCAGCTTGGGTGTTGATTACGGTGGTTTCACCTTGCTGCGTAACCAATGACTTGAGCTAGACTAGCCTAGTTCTAGATGCTCTACATTTCAAGCTAAGCCTAGAATCTGTATAATTTCTATTTTTTTTTGCTGTTTTAAATTATTTCGATCATCTACTTCTTCTAAATCTAGTTTGTGTCTCTACATACAAGCATATCTAATAAAATGTTACGTTATGTCTTGTCAGTGGTTGTTACGTCCCTTTGTTATGATTATTATAGTTGTGTCCCTTGAGTCATCACTGGGTCAACTTTTAATGTCGTTAATTAATTTAATTAACATGTTGTTAATTTAGTTTTGCAATCTATTAATTAATAATACAATCAATAACACGTTTAAAAGTGTTAAATATTTATTTTATTTATTAAACTAGGATTAAAACGTATAAAACACGATCGTTACGCAAGCTGGTTCAGATGGCCGCAGGGAAAAAAAAAGAGGGGAAAAAAATATCGCTAGTAGCACGTCACTAAAACATGAATATCTCAAATTCAATGCGTAGGAATATAAAATGATTGATACATATTAAGAGTAGAAAGGCAGAGGAATAATATAGTACTTTGGGTTTGTTTATGTGTTAAACGGTTACAAAATAGCGCCCGATGAAAGTCGGGAGTTCGCTCTGTGTGACCGGTTGTGGAACTTCACTCTAGATCTACTTATTTTTTTATTAGGCCCCTGCCTTAATCATTAATGTGATTTTTAAAAAACAACATAAAAAAGCATAAGAACTGTTTCAATTAAATAGTGTGTGATCATCAGCGGGAGAAAAATCCTTACATGGTCACATGTTCACCGTGAGTTCACATTGACTTTATTTATCAGCATACGTCATAGCTCGGGCAATAGCTGTTTGAAATTGTGTTGGCCTCAGTTTTGGGGTCATTGTAAATTGTAAGTTAATAAATGTTTATTTATAGTATCATGCCTGGGAGATACTTTTAACAATACAAACTTAACCGCCTTGCATAAGACAGAGGTACGTTTACGTACTTTACCCATTGCCATGAAAATCCTAACTGACACACGAACATGGCACATTCACTATTCTAAATTTGATTTTTCTCAAGTTTTGACAAAAGTAAATTATCAAAATCTGAAACGAAGTCAGTCTCTTTGTTTTTTTTATTTCATTATTATTCATTTGTTAAAACAAAAATGCAATACAAATAAATAAATCGTGTTTTCTTAATGTTTTGGTGTGTTTCGGTTATTATAATAAAATACGCTCAACTGGAGGTAAACGAGAAGCAGAGAATAAAATACACTAAAATGGAGTTTTACCTCCTTCTGTTCGATGACACTTACAGAATTGAAGTTAAAAGTAAAACATAATACTTTAATAATACAAATAGTGAGACAAGCAAACAAACAAACATTAGGTCTAATTATTAATTAATAGGCCACATTTGTGCAGATCGCTCTGCTGTTGGTTTAATTAAATCTTCTCTCTTGGTCGCACATGATCTAAAAATTAAAATAGATATCAGAAGTGCACAACTTTTTTTTTGTCTTCTTAGCAATTCAATGTTGAGATAAAGTTTAAGTGTTTTATTCAATAGTCAATACCTAAGGTAGGCGCAGGTTAAAAAATGAAAAGAATAGAATCTAGATTTAGTTAGTTAAGAGTTAAGACTATAGGCCTGCTGAACTCACAGTGACCCCGCCAACTGTGGTTGGATTTTTTCAGCCACGGGCTTGAAACTGTAAGCAAGCAATCACGGGCTTGAAACTGTAAGCAAGCAATCACGCGAGTGACAAAGTTTGGAAATTTAAAAAAATTAAAATAAATTCTAAATTTAAAAAAAAAAATTTACACTTGACGTTTTCAATATGAAAAAAATAAATTGTCAAAAGGCACTGTATGCCGGTTGTGCTAACCCCGAGTTCAAACTCTGAGCTCTTAGGCTATGAACTTAACAACCACACCAGAAGTGCTAGCAAACGAAATATTAAAGCTTTTTTAATCAGAAGATGGCAAACCCCAAAATTTTAGAATGTGTCTTATGGAATTCAAATAATACTCGAAACGCTCAACGATCCGCATAGTCATTTGGTAGTTAATAATAATAATAATAATAAATAAAGTCAAAATTGTTTAGATAGGGTAAGGACATAGACTTATTTCCCTTTTTTAAAGTCAAATAGGGGAGCTCATAAGGTCCTTTTAATAGATTTGTACTAAACAAATTTAAAAGCAATTACTTCTCAAAATTATTATTTTTTTAAATACATACTAAAGAATGACATAGTATAAAAAGGAAAAGTATTTAAAATTAATAATATAAATACAAAAAGACATAAAAAGAAACATAACGAAAGAAACCATTAATACACACAAAGCTTTGATGTTTCATATTCTTTTGACCGATTGAGGTTAAGAAATATTACGGCAAACATAAAATAAAACAGATTTTCAAAACAGACTAATGCGCTCACACACATGAGATGTTGTAATTTGTTTTAATTTAAAAAAAACAAAAACATTTTTTTTGAAAACCCGATCAGGCCAGAAATGAGTATACTTTTTGTATATATATATATATATATATATATATATATGGGGGGGGGGGGGCAAAATTTATTTTTGCGGGGTGGCCCTTTTTTTCTAGTTCTGCCATTGCATCTATGAAGAACTTGTGTTTCCTATTTAAAAGCAAAAATGTAAGCAAATTTTTCTTGTATAAAAATAAAATACGCCCTTTATTTTTGTTAGCTTTCAATTTCATTTTTATATCCACCCTCCATGTTTTGGTAGTGCTTGTAAAATGCCATTGATCTTCTATTTAATCAACTAAAAGTGTTTGACAGTTAAAAAGTAGGCTGTAGACCACAGGGCAAATTTTGTATTTTTACCATTCCCATATTAATTGAAACATAATTTATTACTTTCAATTATTATTAACAAAGAAACCACATTTACAAATCTGCCAAGGCTCAGCTATAGTCTAGCCTGGTGTAGCAACTTTTTATTTTCTTTAATATTTATTTATTTAAAAAAAAAATAAATATGCAATCAAATAGTAATCTATATATATAATTCTCTTCTGGGAGACGCTAGAAAACAAGCTGTAAGCGCGCTCCCTACCACCCCAACCCTACATGGTCTGGTGAGCTGTGGTTTACGCTAAATGTTTACATTACAATCGAAGAGCCGGGTTTAGTGACGGCTATTAGGGGCAGATAATTTAGTTTGAAACGATTTTAAACTTAGGGGAGGTAACTAAGAGGGGGCTGCTTTCACAGGGGGGGGGGGTGTAGGGTAGAGGTTGGGGGAAAGGAGGGTGGGGGTAGTATCGTTCTTAACGACCTACTGATAGTGTTTTAAAGCAAATATTTTCAGTGACAGCAGTGGTACTGTCGAATACACAAATTATGAATTACTGAAAAGTACAAAATAAAACAACTAAATAGCGGCATATGATACGCTGCGGGTCGGCTCGTACTAAATAAGTTAAATAAACCGTTTGTAGCTCTTATTTTCCAGGTAGTTGTGATTAATTTTACAACCAAATTTTGATGAATTTTTTTAAGATCTTGACCTACAACTAGTCAGCCATTTTCTTTTTTCCTGTATTACTAGACATAGCAAAACGTTTTTAAAAGAAATAGAACACCAACAAAGTGCAACAGATTTGTTAAAATTTCTTAATTAAAATTACAAAATAATATTAATATAACTAGTATTAGTTCAAGTGCAATAGTTGAATATTTATTGAAGAGCGGCAATGAAAATTTAATAAAATCAGTTTTCCAAAGAGGCAATGGTAAAGTGGCATGAACAGACATAGTTGAACAATAAGATAGAAAGAAACTACTGGCAAAAAATTTTAATCATGCTTTTAATATAATTAAATTTTTTTAAGCTGCTGATCAATCTTGGTCACTCTACATTACAATAGTCTACATTTGTTAATTCCTATGATATATTACTGTACTTCTATCTAGTTTTAGAAAAAAAAACTTAATATATTTTAAAATGAAAAATTCAATTATCTTATGAAATCTTGTCGAAGGTTGTTTAGTGGTGAAGATGTTTTTGTTTGAAAATTTAGATCAGTTTCAGCCTTTTAACTTCCCTGTACTACCTCGTCTGATGTCACTATACTCATATCATTTCCTTGTTTCTGACATCAGTTTTTATCACAGAGCTTAAGAATTTCCTTGTTTCTGACATCAGTTTTTATCATAGAGCTTAAGAATTTCCTTGTTTCTGACTTCAGTTTTTATCATAGAGCTTAAGAATTTCCTTGTTTCTGACATCAGTTTTTATCATAGAGCTTAAGAATTTCCTTGTTTCTGACATCAGTTTTTATCACAGAGCTTAAGAATTTCCTTGTTTCTGACATCAGTTTTTATCATACAGCTTAAGAATTTCCTTGTTTCTGACATCAGTTTTTATCACGGAGCTTAAGAATTTCCTTGTTTCTGACATGAGTTTTTATCATAGAGCTTAAGAATTTCCTTGTTTCTGACATGAGTTTTTATCATAGAGCTTAAGAATTTCCTTGTTTCTCACATCAGTTTTTATCATAGAGCTTAAGAATTTCCTTGTTTCTGACATCAGTTTTTATCACAGAGCTAAAGAATTTCCTTGTTTCTGACATCAGTTTTTAGCATAGAGCTTAAGAAATAATGGCACAAGAAATTACAATTTATATTTCTTTATTATAACAAGTTCAAACAAAAGGGGACAGTAAAGCAAACTTATGTTTCTGTTGAAAAGACTCAATCTTAAATTCCAACTTTTGACAAAACTTTGCTTACCTGTTGCTTAACTTTAACCTGCAGAAAGTCTCCAGTTTTTTTAGTTTTGACTATCAAGAAGTAAGTTTATGCACATCTGTTATAATGTTCATTTCATCAAAGTTTTATTTTTTTATTTACTCTGCATTTGTTTTATTTTTGAAGTTAATTAATAATTCTATAATTTGTCAGAGTAAATGACACAAATCAGAATTTAGCAGGGAGTCAGTTTTCAAGCCAAACATAGCCTACTTAGTGGCCCTCAAATCTTTGAGTCTAGCTGAGTCAGTTTAACTTTCCTATAAATATAATCTTGGCAACAACTGGCTCATTGCTAACTCTAGGTACCCAGGATTGTTTTTTACATTCTTTATTACATTTCTACTTGATTTATTTTCATTTTACTCAACACAATTTTTTGTTCAGGTTTTTAGTGTTTTAGCATAAGCACGATCATATAAACACAAATATATATATTAAAATGTATGTAATGGGAAATTGAAGAAACATATTCTAAGTGCTAATTTGGGATTCAGGTATTAAATATAAATGCATGCTTAATTTGTTTTATATATGAATGTATAATGTTATGTAAAATGCATATGAAGAAATAATTATTTTATTTTTATAGTTGTAACAAACTTTTCAAAATTCACTCATGTATTATTTCATCAAATCCTTGCAGGATTTTACCAGTTAAGAATATTTTCTATTTAAATTTTAAGAAATAGTGATATTACTTGTCATTAATGCATTGCCATAGCAAATTACACTTTATAACATGTGTTGAAATAAACAACAAAACTAATGCAGCTAGAAAAGTTTATGTGGATGATGTGTAACGATGGGGAATGGGGCTTTAAGCATCTAAAAAAGGATTGAAGATGAACCTGTGCTGCAATATTTTGCAGTAGGCTAGAAGAATGGCAAACATTTTTAAATTTTACCTGTAAAAATGTAAGTAACTGTAGTAAGTAAGCAAAGCCAAGCAAACATTGTCAGGAGAGTTTTTCTGTTTTTATTGAGTTCACATTCACAATTTGATTATATCCATTTGTTATTTTGATCTATGTTCTTACTTAAATGTTGTTTTATTTATTTTGTTTTGTCTACTTGTCTTTCCAAGTTTTTTAAAAGTGTGAAACTTATTTTCATTAGTTTCCTTAAATTCGACTAAAAAAAAATTCCTGCCAGAGCTAAATCTAACTAACCACCTACTTTGTTATTTTTAGGCAAACTCACACAGTACAAGCTATTTATCAATCAGCTAGCAGCCACCTAAAGCATTTTTAAATTCAAATTTATTTAGTTTCTAACACTTGATTTGTCTTTAGATAAGTGATGCCTCAATTTCTAACACTTGATTTGTCTTTAGATAAGTGATGCCTCAATTTCTAACACTTGATTTGTCTTTAGATAAGTGATGCCTCAATTTTTAACACTTGATTTGTCTTTAGATAAGTGATGCCTCAACACTGAGCTGGTCTACAAGGATCAAAGGCTTTATCATTTGTTTTGCCCTTGGTGCTACTCTCTCTATACTTGTAAGTTAAATCTGCCCTTGGTGCTACTCTCTCTATACTTGTAAGTTAAATCTACCCTTGGTGCTACTCTCTCTATACTTGTAAGTTAAATCTGCCCTTGGTGCTACTCTCTCTATACTTGTAAGTTAAATCTGCCCTTGGTGCTACTCTCTCTATACTTGTAAGTTAAATCTACCCTTGGTGCTACTCTCTCTATACTTGTAAGTTAAATCTGCCCTTGGTGCTACTCTCTCTATACTTGTTAGTCAAATATCTGCTGGGTTGGGATAAGTAGAACATCTAGAATTAAATAATCTAAAACAATACCTTCACAGCCTTTTTGTCATTCTGAATAAACTGGTCACAATCAGCCACTGAGTATTGTTTACTTTTTGTTCCTATTTTAGGGAAGCTGCTTGTTTTTTATCAGTAGCAAAGGACCAATAATATTTGGTGTTCTCTACACAGTAGGAAACCTTCTCTCCATCATGAGGTATGTCCTTTTGAATTACTTGAATAGTATAATCAGTATGGTAACTGTTATTGTGAATAGTATAGTCAATAGTCAGTATGGTAACTGTTATTGTGAATTATTGTGAATAGTATAGTCAGTATGGTAACTGTTGTTGTGAATAGTATAGTCAATAGTCAGTATGGTAACTGTTATTGTGAATTATTGTGAATAGTATAGTCAGTATGGTAACTGTTATTGTGAATTATTGTGAATAGTATAGTCAGTATGGTAACTGTTATTGTGAATAGTATAGTCAATAGTCAGTATGGTAACTGTTATTGTGAATTATTGTGAATAGTATAGTCAGTATGGTAACTGTTATTGTGAATAGTATAGTCAGTATGGTAACTGTTATTGTGAATTATTGTGAATAGTATAATCAGTATGGTAACTGTTATTGTGAATTATTGTGAATAGTATAATCAGTATGGTAACCTATTGTAAATTACTTATTCATTTTTTGTTCTCAGCACGTGTTTTCTTATGGGACCATGTAACCAGCTGAAGAAAATGTTTGCCCCAACACGTATATTTGCCACAATTTTAGTATTTGTACGTTTCTTTCCTCTTTTACTTTGAATGGTACAGTAATTTTTGCAGAAGAGGCTACTACTGGATTTACTTATATCACTTATTTTGGTAGTAGGCTATTCTTGAAAGACCCATTCAAATGTTTCTAAAGATTGATGTAATTTTTGGAACTAAACAAAATTTAAAAAGAAGCCAAAAGTCATTTGGTTTTTTCTCAAACATACATGGCATAACAAGGTCATGACGCTGTTCTAAGTATAAATTTATTTTAAATATATGCCATAAAAGTTTTGAGTATAGAATGGGGGCCAGAGAAACTCCAATCATAATTGGTACAGCCTCACTTAAGACAAACTTCAGGTTAAAATGTTGGATAGATATAAGTAAATAAAAATGTCATTAAAAGCAAAAAATAATCTCTAATCATTTAAAAATTATTACTTTCCAAATTGTACTTATATGATTTTTTTTAGTATGTTTTAGTTCTGAAAGTAAAACAAAGATTTCTGCAGATTTTTAGTTGTACATACAACTCAGTGTTCATGTTTTGTTTCAATTTGATCTGGGATCCATTTCTCCTTTTTTTCAGGTTATGCTTGTGCTGACCTTAGTATGTGCTTTTGCTGTGAGTATTGTCAATGTTACTAGCGGTCATTATAATTCAATTCAATTTTTAAAGTAAATATGTTTTGGTTCAAAACAAATAACTATCTATATAAATATAGTAATATTTGTTTTTAAACAAATATAAATTTTTACTGATAATTTTGAAAAATCTAAAATTTTCAGGTAAAAATAGGAGCGTTGGTGATTATTTGCTGCGTTCTCCAGTTTTTGGCTCTTACCTGGTACTCTCTGTCCTACATTCCTTTTGCCAGGTAAGCTGCAAAATATAAGCTAAACTTAAATACTGAAATGTTTGCCAAATATATTTCTTATGTTTGTAACAGATAACTGCCTACAAATCAGGTCTTCCACAGAAGGAAGTTAATTTATGCTAAAATTATCCTTTTCAACTGATTTCTCATCGCTAGAAAGAATCCTGAAATAGATTTCATTCAAAATTAATTTATTTCTTTCTAAATTCAGGGACGCAGCAAAAAAATGTTTTGCTGCGTGCTTAGACTAGGTCCTCAGCCATTGGTTATTTATCAGCTCCATCATGATGTCATCAGCTGTACAGTTCCACATCCAAAGAATATTTACAGAGCTGGCACCAAGCCATTGTTTTGTTTGTTTCCTTATCTTCATGGTTTGAATGCAATCTTATGTTTGTCAAGAAGTTTAACTTTTTGTTATGGCTTTTATTCACAGAAAACTAGCTCACTTTTTCATTTGTATTTTAAAGATTTAAAAAAAATTGTTGATCTGTATACTGTGGTTGATCTTACAGGAATTAGTAATAATCTTGAGTAGAGATGCATTTTAGGTTTAAACAAACTTCACACTTTAGGGAACAGCTGTCTCTTTATAAAAAAAATGTCATTGAAAAATAAATGACAGTGGTAGTTTATAAAGAAAGAAAAGGACAATTTAAAAATGGACTATTATGTAATTGGTTCACTCTAGAAAATTATTACTAACATTGTTTCTCCATGGAGTTCAAGAAAATATGTGAAATGTAATTGTCTAGTCTTGATTAGGGTGAATATGATAAACTAAACTCGTATATCTATGTATATTTAATAACAATTTTACATACTGAAGTTGTCAACTGATTTTATATTGAAATACAAAAAATGAATTGATGCGTTAAATGGGTTTTACAGTACATCCTTTTTTTTTTAAAGTTTTTGTTACACCTTTTGATTTTATGTACCTTTTCTTATTTAAATATTTATTACAATTTATATTTCATTAACATTGGATGATTGGCAATTCTGTTTAGTACAAATTACTTGTGCATTTTTCTTTTTTAAATTGGCAATTGTAATAATTGTAATTGTATGAGCAATATATGATAGCTTTTTTTTAATCAAGCATCTTTTGCATTTAATTTTCAGTAACAAAATATGTGTTAATCAGTTTCCTTAACAGTTTTCTTTCTGCACAATCAGAGAAAGTAATGGAGAAAGCACTGTAAGCCTAATCAAAATATTTCATCCACTGAAAAGGTCTGCTATTTTTGTATTTGTTTATCAAAGTTTGGGTCAACACAGTGTGCCTTGCTGCCTGATGTTTTGCATCATTGCATTATAAAAGATTTTACAGATTATTTTCAGCTTTGTCCTTTTTACAGATAAATGTACTACTAAATATGCTTGTACCAATATTTGTCACCTTTAGTCTAATGAACTATTTTTTTAGAGCAGGACTTAAAACTTATAAAATATTACATTAATTAATCAAATATATTTTTGTGTGTAAATGATTTAAAACAAAATATTCAATTTACAATGGATGTTTTTGTGTAATGAGAAAATAAAGTAAAACTTATTTTTGCCATGAACAGAAAATAGCTTTATGATGTATAGGTTTCATTGTGATATATATGGCTCAGTGTTATTAAACATGAATCAAATTGACTGATGGTATGTATTCAACATTTTAGACTGAGTTCAAAGTTTAAATTAGTGTAACTTATCAAAAGTAAAAAAAAAAGCAGCAAACTAACATTTGTTTCTTTTTAATTAAACAGTTAATGCTAAAAATTACTGATAATTTATTAACGGTGGTTATTAATTCTTCAAAAAAATGTTTATGTAATAAAGATTAAATAATAAAATAAGATTTTTGAATGCCCTAATAAAAAACTTGCTTTAGAAGAATAAGTCTATGATGTAACTTATGCAGATTTTATAGTTTCTTATAAGGAAAGATGTTTTAATTTTTTTTTTCAGTTTTAATTGCTTTAGTAGTAGTATATACACACACATTAAAGTTATTGTCTCATAAGTAAAGGTCAATTTAATTATAAAATACCATACATTTCTAGATTGCTGTCTAGAGCTCTATATTGAATGGCACAATTTTCTTGATAGTAATGTATCATAGTCTTCTATGATATGAATCTTTTTCTTTTTTAAAAAAATAACAGATTCAAACCACAGTTAGTCCATTTCATCAAAATATATTTTAATATGATTATCATCATTGTGGCAAGGCTGTGTGATAATATTAAATTTGACTTATTCAACTTGCATTTTAAAAAAAGTGAAAAATATCTTATTAAAGTTTTGGACTGAATCTGATTATTACAGATCAATACTAAAAGAAAGTATTTTTGGTGATAGGCAACCCCGGTATAAAAATTTTTGCATTAATCAGTTTAATTCTGTTTATTACTTAATATACATACTGATAGATAACACCAGATACTACAGTTGTCAAGATTTTATTTATCTGAAACCAAACTAAAATTCTCCAGCACACAAGCTGATGGAGTTAGAGAAGAAAAAAATTGGCTCAGCACATGAACAGCCCTTATGTATACAGGACAATGTGTATCAGGTTATGTGGGAGTCGCTGGTCAGCTGACTAGGATTCAGGTGTAATCTTAACACCTCTTCTAATCTGACCCCAGCCAATCAGCCTGGAACAAAAATAAATAATTATGTGATATATGTTAATATAAATTAGCAGGTAAAGTGACTTTTGAAGCTGGTGGTCCATGTGGAAGATGAGGTAAGTTGGAAAAAGTGACACCATCTATTTTCTCGTTAATTACCACAAGCAAGGATAGTGATGTTCACTGTTAACATATTAAGTTCAATGGAGAATCCTATACACTCACCTCCAGTGCTTCTCTATACGTCTGCTTAGGGCAATTTTCTCCCCGACCTCAGTGCACACAGGTGATGTTAAACCAATTTTTGCTAAATCAGCACGAACAGCTAACACTCGACCTCCAGTAGACAACGAGCCAATGTTGACCATCAATATCTCATTTTTACTCAGTTTTTGTACCTAAAGATGCCATTTCAATTGGTTGGAAAATTATTTTATAGGACTATGCCTTACTAGGAACAGAGTGAAAAGAAATATAAAGATACCAGCACAATAGCATAAAAAAATCCACCTGCTATCATTCTATAAAAATTACTTTAACTCACACCCTACCTTAGCAGCCTTCTTATCCCCCTCTGTCTTGACTCCAAGCAATCTTCTAAGGAGGAAGAAGGAAATCTCCAGCTCTGTAAAGATGTCAGGCAGTGCACCAACTGCACCCAGTACTTGACCTACCAAGCGATCTCCTCTGCATAAAGTCGGGTCCATTTTTGTACCAACACCTAGTCATTAATAAAGACATTAATTACTTCAATCCTGTTCAGATTCCCTTTTAAATGTCTAGTTGCATTTGTTAGGTTCACTTAAGATTCTATTACACTTTTTATTAAACCAGTAATAACACCATCAAAATAAATGCCTGAAGGCAAATGAACATAAGCTGAGAGACAATGTTATTTGAAAACTTTTTTCAGAGAAGCTAACCAAAGTTAAGTAGCAATCCAACGGAAACAAAGTTGAGTATGTATAGGGTGATTTGACCTACCTATCAAACCACCAGGTACTGCATACTGTAAATCATTCTGTTCAGCATAGAGTGATATAATTTTTGAAAGAATTGGCCGGCATGTTAGCTTGCCATCCTGATCTCTTGACACTACTCCAGGCCTTACTTCTATCTCTTGGTTTACCTAAACCATCAAAATATAACACTTGCTTTACCTTGATAACACATTGACTATTCTTAGTTTACCAAAGAAAAAAAAATGAACAAAATACAGTTGACTGAACATTACTTTGCATCCTTTTATTCTAATACTACTTTTTAATAACAGTGATTTAACTCTTTAAGGCCGTAAAGATGCTCCTAGCGGTCGACAGGCCGGCCTGCCATACCGTAACAATTAAATTTTCTCTATTTAAATTGTTGTTCTTCAGAATCCAAGTTTTTAATCGTAAATCTAGGTCATGATGTTGATTGAGTGATCATTTTCAGTTAAATTTACTTCTTGTAGTTTTCTTGTTAGGTTGATTTTTTTATAACAACAACTCAAAAAACTGCATACTCAAAAAACTGCATTTTTAAAAAAAATACTGCGGAATGCCATTTAGCGGCAGAGTCTAAACGCTTACGTCACCGCATTATAAAATTAACCAAAATTTAAGTATTTATGCTAAAAAAAAATTAACTCAATAACTTCTTTATTTTTTCTACTTTAAAACTTTCTTCAAGAAATAAATAATTACTTAAAATCTATATTAGTGTGTAGGACATTCAATATAGGGGTTTTAAATCAGTGGGTAAAAAGATAAATATGAGTAATTTGGCAGCAGGGGCACCAAAATTTATTTTTTTTGGTTAAATGTGAAAATTATTACAGGTTTAAAGAGTTAAGATCTAATAAAAATCTCAACCAGTACGACAATGAACAAATTTTTAGAAGGTGAAAAAAAAAAAACAATATATCAAAAAGGATTGTGTAAAGAGAAAGCAAACCTTGAGGACTCCTCTGAGGATTGAACCACCAGCAACACCACCCAGTATATCGTCAACTTCACATCCAGGTTTGTTCACATCAAAGGATCGAATTACTGACAAGAAAAAACTTCACAATCAGCTGACTGACAAACATGGCACGTATTTGAAATCACAAACAAGTGATGATTTTAAAAAGATGTGAAACAACAAGTATGTGATGATTTGAAGAAGTATAAAACAACAAACAGCTGATGATTTTAAAGAGATGTGAAACAAGTGAGTGATGATTTGAAGAAGTGTAATACAACAAACAGCTGATGATTTTAAAGAGATGTGAAACAAGTGAGTGATGATTTGAAGAAGTGTAATACAACAAACAGCTGATGATTTTAAAGAGATGTGAAACAAGTGAGTGATGATTTGAAGAAGTGTAATACAACAAACAGGTGATGATTTTAAAAAGATGTGAAACAAGCAAGTGATGATTTGAAGAAGTGTGAACTGACATGGTACTAGAAGGTGAACCTACCAATAAGCCTGGGCTCTGAAAGGAAATCTCTGACAGGCACGGGGATCCTTTTGATGATGTATTCACATATTACATCAATGTTATACTTGAGCTGTGCTGATACTGGAACCACTGGAGCCCCTTCGGCCACAGTTCCTTAAAGATAGCAAGCACAAGATTTACTCTCAGAAAAGCTCTAATGGTTCTAGATTTCTGTAAATGGAAGAAACTCACCTTTAACAAATGCTTGAATATGTTCATACTGCTCTTTGGCATGTGATTCATTTACAAGATCAATTTTATTTTGTAGGATTAGTATATGTTTCAGCTTCATGATTTCTACAGCTGCTAAATGTTCTGATGTTTGTGGCTGTGGACAAGACTCATTTCCAGCTGGTGAACAAAAGTAAAATAAAAATTTTTAAGTTCAGGATCAAAACAATCTGATAGGGCACACAACAATAATCTGACACCTTTATAGGGCACACAACAATAATCTGACACCTTTATAGGGCACACAACAATAATCTGACACCTTAATAGGGCACACAACAATAATCTGACACCTTTATAGGGCACACAACAATAATCTGACACCTTAATAGGGCACACAACAATAATCTGACACCTTTATAGGGCACACAATAATAATCTGACACCTTTATAGGGCACACAAATCTGACACCTTTATAAGGCACACAACAATAATCTGACACCTTTATAGGGCACATAACAATAATCTGACACCTTTATAGGGCACACAACAATAATCTGACACCTTTATAGGGCACACAACAATAATCTGACACCTTAATAGGGCACACAACAATAATCTGACACCTTTATAGGGCACACAATAATAATCTGACACCTTTATAGGGCACACAACAATAATCTGACACCTTTATAGGGCACACAAATCTGACACCTTTATAAGGCACACAACAATAATCTGACACCTTTATAGGGCACATAACAATAATCTGACACCTTTATAGGGCACACAACAATAATCTGACACCTTTATAGGGCACACAACAATAATCTGACACCTTTATAGGGCACACAACAATAATCTGACACCTTAATAGGGCACACAACAATAATCTGACACCTTTATAGGGCACACAACAATAATCTGACACCTTTATAGGGCACACAACAATAATCTGACACCTTTATAGGGCACACAACAATAATCTGACACCTTTATAGGGCACACAAATCTGACACCTTTATAAGGCACACAACAATAATCTGACACCTTTATAGGGCACACAACAATAATCTGACACCTTAATAGGGCACACAACAATAATCTGACACCTTTATAGGGCACACAACAATAATCTGACACCTTTATAGGGCACACGACAATAATCTGACACCTTTATAGGGCACACGACAATAATCTGACACCTTTATAGGGCACACAATAATAATCTGACACCTTTATAGGGCACACAAATCTGACACCTTTATAAGGCACACAACAATAATCTGACACCTTTATAGGGCACATAACAATAATCTGACACCTTTATAGGGCACACAACAATAATCTGACACCTTTATAGGGCACACAACAATAATCTGACACCTTTATAGGGCACACAACAATAATCTGACACCTTTATAGGGCACACAACAATAATCTGACACCTTTATAGGGCACACAACAATAATCTGACACCTTTATAGGGCACACAACAATAATCTGACACATTTTTCAGTGGTGTTGGGTATACATTCCAGGAAAGATGAAAGTAATAAAGATGTAAGTAACTAACCAATCATAAGTAGTGCAGCATCCATAACTGCAGCTCCGTTTAACATAGTAGCCATAAGAATATCGTGGCCAGGACAGTCCACAAAAGAAACATGCCTATAAAAGTAAAAATTGAAGAAATATAACATACAAATAATCTATCTTTACAGCTCTAATTGTTGCATTTAAGGAAACATTAATATGATAGTTAAAAAAAAAAAAGAGTTATGGTGAGTCATTCCAAACCTTTTCAGTCTGAACCTTCCTCCACAGCCAGACCTGTCACAGACAAAGGAATCGTCTTTAGCACTGCCACATGATCTATAGCAGTCTGGCCTAGGACAGGATTCATTATCACACTGATATATCTGTGGGAAAAACAAGGATTTGTCTCAATATGATACATCAAAAAGCTTCTAAATAATTTAGAGAATATATGAAATAATTGCATTCATAGCAAATAACAAAACAATCCACACTAACCTTAGCATTAGCATATCCTAATTTGATGGTAATGTTCCTCTCAAGTTCATTTTTAAATCTAACAGTCTGAAAAAAAGAATCAGATTGAAAAAAAAAACCCAGAAAAAATCAAAACAAAAGCCAGTGGTTGTAGTTCTACTTAGCTTGCTTACCTGAACTCCTGAGATGGCTTTTACCACTGTGGATTTCCCATGAGCTACATGCCCAATGGTACCTGAAACACAAAGTTATAAAGAATACAAATTGTAACGTCCCCTATCTATCAGCCAAATAGACGGTGAACGTCCCCGGATTCTTTTTTCGGGGTCATATGCAAATGCCTTACGGCCTAAGTGGATGAACACTAACACAACGGCACACTAGGGCTCGAATTCAATGTCTAGGGAAGCTAGTGATACTATTGTAATTAACACTCATCCAATCTACATACAACTTTAATCAGCGAACACAGTTGTGGCAAAACACAAGGTTGAACTAGTTAAAATATTTAATGTATAAAATATCAAAACACAACTTACAAAATGTAGGAAAAACACTATCACAGATTTCTACACTGTCTAAATATAGCCACAGGCCACACAACACTGCTATAGCTTCTAGAATAACTCAGCGACGAGTAATATTATACTAGAAGCCTAAATCAACTTAAGAAAGCAAGGCACACACAGGACTTAAGTTCTCTCACGTTCAAATGGTCAGAGTCTATAGCCGGACAATATGGACGGCTGCCTGACCAAGGTAAAATCGCCCTGTAGACTGCCTCGTGTTGCGAGTGTGCGGGGCAATTAAAGACTTCTGCAACAGGGGAGATTATCCTCAACTCATGTAGCCATTGGTTGGGATAGTCATCTGATTAGAATCATTCAATCAGATCTTAATGGAAAATTTCTATGTCTTAGACCCCTTAATAAGTCAGTGGAAATTTTCCGGTTGTTGCACAATCACTCCATATAAGGTATTATACAATGTCAACATAAAAATAGAACCTGACTCGACCTAAGTAGGTCACATCCCCTCCCTTTTTGGAAGTGACAGATAGGTTCCACAAAAACATACATAAGGAACCAATCTGGCAATGAAATAAAAAAAAATGTTTTACAAATGTAGGCAATCAAAATCATAATACCAGATGAAAATATCCCTGAACATAAAAGGGAAGTAACTCCAACTTTTACAATTGGTGAAAGGGGAGTAACCCTTCAAAAGGTAATTATACATCAAAATCCCTCAAAACAGGGTATTACAATTTTTCCATGAGGATATTAAAAGTGGTAAACCCGCCAGGGTAAGACCTTTATTTCAATGACTAGCTACAATATCAATTGAGTCATCTGAGACATATTATTTTAAAAGATTACATAGAATCAAAAACCACCTTTAATTAAGGTTCACCTGAAAATAAACAAAATATTCAACAGGAATGGAATTTTGAAAAAATCAAAAATCATACCACTCATTCCATGTTAAAACACAACACTTGTGTGTGGTCTTAATGAACCACAAAACATGTCACATGATTAATGTGTGCAATAAGATTTTACATCCTTGACAAACAATCAGCCACAACATTATCACTACCCTTAATGTGTGAAATTTCCAGATTAAAATTTTGGAAATATAAGCACCACCTCAATATTCTTTGATTTGTCTGTCCTAACTTAGAGGTAAATTTCAGGGGATCATGGTCAGAAAACACTCTGACTGGATTGGTTGAAGAAGAGACATAGACTTCAAAATGTTGTAATGACAAAACCAAAGCTAAAGCCTCTTTTTCAATAGTAGAATAATTCTTTTGGTTTTCATTTAACTTCCTGGAAAAAAAAGCAATGGGATGGTCAATTCCCATGTTGTCTTCTTGAGATAGGACTGAACCAATGGCTAAGTTGCTAGCATCAATGGCAAGTTTAAAGGGTTTGCTGAAATCTGGTGCAGCCATAACAGGAGCATTAGATAGAAATGACTTAATGGTTAAAAAAGCTTCTTGACATTTATCTGACCATTCAAACTCAACACCCTTTTTCAATAATGCAGTAAGAGGTTCAGCAATAGCTGAAAAGTTTTGACAGAACCGTCTATAGTAACCAGCCATCCCAAGGAACTTTTTGATTTCTTTACAATTTTTGGGAGGTGGTAACCTTACAATAGCATCTATTTTAGCTTCAATGGGCCGAACTTGGTTCGTTCCCACTTGGTAACCCAAATAGGTAATTGGAGCTTTACAGAAATCACTTTTATGTAAGTTTACAGTAAAATTCACTTCAGACAATTTTCTAAAAAGGTTAGTCAACTGAACAATATGTTCTTCAAAAGTATTAGAAAATACAACTATATCATCTATGTAGGCCTCACATTGGTCTATGTCAGCAATGACAGAGTTAATGACTCTCTGGAAAGTTTGACCAGCATTTCGCATACCAAAGGGCATACGTTTGTATCTATAAAAACCATTAGGGGTTACAAAAGCAGATATTTCTTTTGCACGGTCAGATAAGGGGATTTGCCAGTATCCTGAAAGTAAATCAATTTTGGAAATTATCTTAGCCTGACCAACTTTATCAATAACGTCCTCTATCCGAGGTAATGGATAGGAATCAGCTTTGGTGAGCGCATTCACCTTCCTAAAGTCGGTCACAAACCTGAAAGATCCACCGTCTTTCGGTACTAGGAGACATGGGGAACTCCAGTTGCTGAAACTGGGCTCAATGATATCATTCTTGAGCATATAGTCAATTTCATCTTTTATCAAAGCAGCTTTTTCCGGGTTAACTCTATAGGGGTGTTGTTTAATGGGTTTTGCGTCACCTACGTCTACATCATGAGGTGGAACCTTCGCTTCTTTGGGGACATCCCCAAAAATAGAGGGAAATGTCTCAAATAACTGAGACAATCTCTGGTTTTTCTCTGTGGACAAGTGCATAAGGTGGACATTCAAATTATCTAAAAAGGAAGAATTTACCAATTTTGGGGGTTTCAATTTATCATGTATCACATCATCAGAAACATTTGAACATACAGGTAAAGTAATATTAGCTGTGGAATGAAAATTGTTACAATTATCATAATACTTTTTCAGTGAGTTAACATGATACACTGCCTGTTTCTTTCTTCTGTCGGGCGTATTGACCACATAGTTCAAATCACTTAATTTTGAATGCACAGTAAAGGGTCCACAATATCTCAAGGATAACGCATTGTTCAGATTAGGCACTAGCACAAGAACTTTGTCGCCTGGATTGAATGTTCGTTTACGAGAACTCTTATCATACAGTCCTTTCATTCTCACTTGGGCCTTTCTTAAGTTCTTGTGAGCCATTTCGCACACGGCTTTCAGTCGAACGTGAAAATCGTCAAAGTTTTCCACAGGATGATCACTGGTACCTGTCCAACGTTCGTGTATCAGCTTCAGGGGGCCACGGACAGAATGTCCAAACACAAGTTGAAAAGGCGAGTAGCCTAAAGAGTCCTGGACACAGTCCCTCGCGGCGAAAATAATCCAAGGAACAGACTCATCCCATTGGGTGTTACTATTAGCGAACGTTCTTAACATGGTTTTGAGGGTTTGGTGGAACCTCTCAAGTACGCCTTGAGACTGAGGGTGGTAGGCTGAGCTGGTGATGTGGGTAACGCCTAGCTTGGCTAGTGCTTCCTGAAAATGGTGACTGGTGAAGTTGCTGCCTTGATCTGTTTGCACGATTCTAGGTAATCCAAAGGTAGTGAAGAACCGGGTCATGGCTCTGACTACAGTCTTTGCCTTAATGTTCCGTAAGGGAATCGCCTCGGGAAAACGGGTACTTGAACACATAAAGGTAAGTAGGTACTCGTTGCCCGCCTTGGTTTTAGGCAAGGGACCTACACAGTCCATGACGATTTTAGAAAAAGGTTCTTCTAATACAGGAATCGGACTCACAGGGGCCCTAGGAATTGTCTGGTTTGGCTTTCCGGCCAACTGACAGTTCGAGCAACTTCTGCAGTAACGCGACACATCTTTTCTCATTTTGGGCCAAAAGAACAGTTCTTTGATCTTCGCCGTCGTTTTAGTGGCTCCTGGGTGCGCTGACATTGGATGGTCATGTGCCAGCTTAAGTATTTCATGCCGATAAGGTGGAGGAACCCACAGCTGGTTTTTACCCAACCATGGTTCGGCTGGTGAGGCATTCACTGGTATAGCGCGACGAAAGAAAAGGCCGTTCTCGGAGAAATATTCTCCATCGTCAGATGATAGAGATTTTTCGACCGTTGCTTTGAGTTCCGCGTCGACTTGTTGAGCTTTAATGATGTCTTCCTGAGATATCCTCAGGGGTAAGCCCAGGCTTGTGTTTTCTGGAAGCATAGACTCCAGTTTGGGAGTCGAATTTCTTGACGATGATGGCGGGTGTGGTTCAGACGTTGTGTCAGCCAATTGTTTGGTCTGGCTTCTTGTCACCGCACATGCAGGATACAGTTCATAATCATTATCTGGAACTGTTGACAAAGGGTCTGAAACCGTACAGGGGTATACTTTGCTGCCCGCAAGGTCATTCCCTAGAAGTAGGTGTACTCCTGGGACAGGAATACTATCTATCACACCTAAAATGACTTCACCTTCGACTAGATGATGTTTCAGAGCAAACTTGTGTAGAGGGACTACAGTAGATTTTGTCCCCACTCCCTGGATAATGGAAATCCTTCCGGTGTTCGTCTCAGGTGTAATGTCCATTGAACTTTTCAAAAGGAGCGATTGTGACGCTCCTGTGTCTCTAAGGACGGTGATATTCCGCTGAGACAACGGATCACCTGGTTTGCTAATGATGGCTTCGGCAATAAAAGATGAAAAGTCAACTTTTCTCGATCCCTCGAGATCGGTAGACTCGGCAGAAACTGGCTGGTGGCGAGAACAGTCAAAATGTGACTGCACATAATGTGTGGAGACTTGACTACCTTCTTGAGGACACTTAGGGTTAGAGTCCTTTAGAATTCTAGAGTTCATAGTTGAACTGGCTGCTTGAGGGGATAGAGCATAGTGCGCGGAAGTACGCACCACCTCTCTGTTATATTGACGACGTATGTAACAGTCCTTGACAAGATGACCAGGTCTTTTGCAGAACTGGCATACTGCTCGACGATTGAGAGTTGATCTTGGGTTCTCTCTGGACTGTGATGCCTTCAAGTGTTGGCCAACAGGAGGATTGCTGCCAAAAAGGGGAAGCACGGGGTTGAGGCGGTTTCCTGACACTGGTGGTTTCTTATGCACCAACATATATGTGTCAGCCGACTCAGCAGCCTTCTGGATGTCAGTTATCTTGTTATCCAGTATGTGTAGTCGTATCTCTTCAGGCAGGGACGATAGGAATTCTTCCCTTAGGATAAGAGACCTGAGTTTCTCAAACTCAGAAACTTCCTCAGAGTGTAGCCACCTTGAGAATATTTTCTCCTTTTCAAAGAGAAATTCCACATATGATTGAGTGGGTGACTTGCGGAGTGTTCGGAATTTTGTCCGATAGGCCTCGGGCGTCAGTTCGTAGGCCTTCAAAATGGCAGTCTTGACCAAACTATAGTTATTTTGAACGTCGTGAGAGAGTGCCTGGTATGTTTTTGCAGCTTTCCCAGTAAGGACAGAGCTCAATAAAGCAGTAATGGAAGTTTCGGGCCATTCACATGTCTTCGCTAAACTCTCAAACGAGTTAAAGAAAACGACCAAATCTGTTTCATCAAACTTAGGAACTAATTTCCCAAATTTGGCAATCACTTGCCCTACCGACAACTTTTTTGGATCTACCGGAGAAGTGACATCACTAACTTGACCAAACTCTAATTCCAACCTCCTCTTATCTAAAGCAATTTTAGCCTCTAACTCCTTTTCTTTTAATGCCTTCTCTAAAGCAATTCTAGCTTCTAATTCTATCTTCTCTAGAGGTTTCTCCTCGCGGAGTAACACACCAGCCAACAAACTTTATTCAAATACCCCTTCATTAATAAAATGAACAACAACTTTATCTCTCAACACTTCTGACTTCTGCGTAACAGAATAATCCAATTTCAATTCCTTAACAACACTAATCAAAACTTTTCTACTCAACTTCTCGACCTCTTCAAAAGTAGGATTAGCCAAAAAAGACTCCATAACACTAACTTTCAAATCACAACAAGCCTAGGTTCACTAACTTAACACGGTGCGTTGAGCCGTGTACTTGACCTCTTCAATCTAGGACGACACGTCTGGCTATTGACCTAGATACCTCTATGCTTGCGCGCGTTGTAAGAACACTGCGCTACTGGATATAAAAACAACTAAATCCAACTAACCTTAGTATTTAACTGATATGACCAACAACTGGAACGACAGACTAAATCCCGGACGGGCCCCCACTTTGTAACGTCCCCTATCTATCAGCCAAATAGACGGTGAACGTCCCCGGATTCTTTTTTCGGGGTCATATGCAAATGCCTTACGGCCTAAGTGGATGAACACTAACACAACGGCACACTAGGGCTCGAATTCAATGTCTAGGGAAGCTAGTGATACTATTGTAATTAACACTCATCCAATCTACATACAACTTTAATCAGCGAACACAGTTGTGGCAAAACACAAGGTTGAACTAGTTAAAATATTTAATGTATAAAATATCAAAACACAACTTACAAAATGTAGGAAAAACACTATCACAGATTTCTACACTGTCTAAATATAGCCACAGGCCACACAACACTGCTATAGCTTCTAGAATAACTCAGCGACGAGTAATATTATACTAGAAGCCTAAATCAACTTAAGAAAGCAAGGCACACACAGGACTTAAGTTCTCTCACGTTCAAATGGTCAGAGTCTATAGCCGGACAATATGGACGGCTGCCTGACCAAGGTAAAATCGCCCTGTAGACTGCCTCGTGTTGCGAGTGTGCGGGGCAATTAAAGACTTCTGCAACAGGGGAGATTATCCTCAACTCATGTAGCCATTGGTTGGGATAGTCATCTGATTAGAATCATTCAATCAGATCTTAATGGAAAATTTCTATGTCTTAGACCCCTTAATAAGTCAGTGGAAATTTTCCGGTTGTTGCACAATCACTCCATATAAGGTATTATACAATGTCAACATAAAAATAGAACCTGACTCGACCTAAGTAGGTCACAAAATGATTTAATCTTTTATTTTAAATATGTTCAGGATCTCAAACATCATAGTATACCATATCTTCTTTGAAGCATATGAAAAATAAACCAAAAGAAAAAACATACCAATATTTATAGTTGCCTGTCGACTAATAACATCAGGTGAAAGTGGTGTCAATGATTTTATGTCCTGTGAAGAAAAATGTGTAATTACTTAGTAAAAAAAAGGATTAATAATAAGTTAGTTAAATAAATAATTGTTTACCTGTTTAACTCCTATATTGCTTAACACCTATTATTGCTGAACACAGCTTTTATTGTGTCGCTGCGCTGAGCTGCTATTTCTATTTTTTTATAGTTATATATTACAATGGAAATTCTCCAGTTAAAATAAATGGAAAACTAACCTCCTTTCAGTATTTTTGGCATTTAAAATCGCATATATTATGTTAGATTAAAATTAAAGTGATTTTTTCAAACCACGTCAAAATTTTAAAAAGTTTAACATTGCATGACTTTTGAGTATGTACACTGTAATACATAAAGAACAAACATTGTAAATAAAAGACAAGAAAAGCTAGGTCAGGCATGTGCAGCAGAACAAAAATGTTGCTTTATTATTTAAATAAAAATAGTAAATAGAAGTAGTGATGATATTTAATTTAATAAATATTAATGGGAAATGCAGAAGTGAGGGTATTTCTAAAGATGAGTCGCTAATAATAGTAATAGCACTAGGAGTAGTGCTTCACTTTGCCACATCCATTACAATGAGGCACATTTATCGTTAACAAGGTTATGAATAATTTACTTTCATGTTTGTTGGTAATGAAATTTCTTTTAGTGTGAATTTTCTAAAAGACCCACACTATATTAACTGCAACTACGCTTAGAGCGGTCGACATGTCGGCCTGTAAACTGTAATGACGTGTCAAATAAAATTTTCTCTACTTAATTCTTTGTTTTTCAGAATCCAAGTTTTTAATCCTAAATCTAGGTCATGATAACGTTTTTAGAGCTGCCGTTTTTCATTGTATTTACTTCTTGTAGTTTTCTCGTTAGGTTGATTTTGTGTTTTAGAGAATTTTTTTTTTTGTAAAACAACTTACAAAACGGCATTTTTTTTAACACTGCGGAATGTCACTCATAGGCCACACGTCTAAACGGTTACGTCTCTTCATTATAAAATTAACCAAAATTAAAGTATTTATACTAAGACTAATCTTTATATCTAACTTTATCTTTATAACTAACTAATTATCTTTCTTTAATAAATAAATAATTACTTAAAATTTATGTCAGTGTTTAGGGCATTCAATTATGATTAATTTTTATAAAAAATGTGTGGGATTTAAATCAACGGGTAAAAAGATATGGGTCGTTTAGCCACAGGGGTACTGAAAAAAAAATAATTCCAGTAAAATGTGAAAATAATTACCGGCTTAAAGAATTAATGTTATATTTAAAAAGTTTTTCCCCTTCCCTTATGATTGGGGGAGTCACGGATTGCATCACAAGTTCAAAGGCTAATATAGGTTATGACCCTACGATCCAGAAGACGTCCGAAAGTATAATGACCTATTTTCAAATTAGCTAGGCCAATGCCGCTGCCGAGAAAATCGGACAAATCGGCTTTTCCCTACCCCCTGCATGTTTAACTCTGTTTTTTGCATGCTTTTATTGTGTTTATGTTAACATGTTATACATCATTCTGTTCGTAATTGAATAACCTTTTTAACTGTATTAGTTTGATTTCTCTATTATTTCAGACGTTGGAGAAATCGCCGATTTAATCGCATTTTTTACCCCCCGCGGCGACGTGCCGATTAGGGGGGAGGCTTTTTCACCTTTTTAAAAGGGGGGTGTTACTTGGAGTCTATAGACTCTTTGAGTTTGCGTACTAAAACTGTGAAACTTGGTAGAAGAATAGATTAAATGTACACGTATAACGCTCAGGGTTCTTGGTTAAAATATGTTAAATACTTTCGGAGATATCGGACCGCAAAGTTAAACTAAGTTATTTGAGCTATTTATGGACCGATTTTTTATTTGAACCCTGAGCTGTATTCCTGAAATCTCGACGTTTATTAATATGTATGATATGTCCTATAAGGCCCTATAATAAGGACGTCTATAGACTTTGAAGTGGACCGAAAATATAAACACGACGCGCCGACCGCTGTCTGACTGAACCGCCCTGCTGTGCTTCAAATCGCAGTCTTTAACCTGATGACGCGTTACAAAATTTGTATACACGTATCGAGTTTACGTACTACAACAGTTAAATTTGGCAGACGAATACATTAAATGTAGACGTATAACGCTCAGGGTTCGTGGTCAAAATAAGTTAAATACTTGTGGAGATATCGGACCGCAAAGTTGAACCAAGTTTCCCGGTCTATTATTGGACATATTTTACATTTGAACCCTGAGCTGTATTCCCGAAATCCCGCCGTTTATTTTAATGTATGACATGTATTATAGCACCTCGTAATAAAGCCGTCCATACATTTTAAAACCGAACGAAAATAAAAATTAACGCGTCGGCCGCCGTCCGACTGAATCGTGATCTACACATCGTGTGGCACAGCCGAGTGTGTGGTCACGTGACGCTAGGCGCTTGATCCGATTGGATGATACTATAAACAATGTCTAAAGATAGATACATGTGTTCCCGTGTTTGACTCGACGGCTATTGCTACTTTATATTTATAAGCACACAGACATGTTGCATAACTTTTTCTTAACCCATTGAAACGTCAAACAAAAGTTTTGTTAGTATTTACGGCTGAGGACTAAACGTCAAAATTAATCATCTTTAGAAATAAATCCGAATTGCTTCGGCCCGATCAAACAATGCTGTGATGTTATTCGTGTAACGTTTCATTATTGTGTACATTATTTATATTTTCGTAAAAATGGCTTTAAAAATAAATTAAATTATATCCGGGGCTCTTTTCTACAAATTTTAATACCACTAACAACGTGGGGGTTACTAGCTTGCCAAATCGACCAAAATGGGGTGGGGTGGATGGGGGTAGCCACTGACCATCCTACACCGTATGTAACACCCATAGCCTCCCCCCGCCCCCACTAGTCCGTGACGTGACAAGCCGACGAGCATCGCTTTTGATGTTGTATAACACCCGTACGGTACACGGTGGTTTCATACCCCACCTCCCTCCCCCTTCACTTTGTGGAGTTGATGTTACTAACCCTCGGGCATAGATCAGGAAATCTTGCCAGACTTTTGTCTCTGAGATTACATAATATTCATCTGACACGTTCATCGGGTTGGCCGACTAGCCTATCCAGCGGTCGTATTTACGTAATAGGGCAATAAAATTCGTTGGTCAGAAATCAAGGCAAAAGCTGGTGGTGGTACACGTGTCTGTGTATAGCCAAACGCAGTAATCTTACACAATTTCTAGAATCTACTAGATCTACACAGTCAAGCACTCAAACACGTGCTTTTTTCTTAAGAAAGTTCTTAATTGTAAAAGGCCTACTGGTAGGCTTACAAAATACATAAACCTACTTACTACTAGAATAAACCTTGGGCATAAATATACATTTATGTTATATATCTCTAAGTCTATAACTTAACTATACCTTGTGCAAGTTTTAAAAAAAAATATTTTCCTCCAAAGTTTATTTTATTGACATTGTAAAAATGATTAACTTTAAATTGGGTAATAATATTACGTAATTACCATAAAGCACACTCTGATTCTGATCAGACACATTTGTAACTAGACTAATTCTATAGCAAAAAGGATTAAGATAATTAAAATAACAAGAAATATAATTATAATGAGATAGGCCTTTATTTTTGGAACAGAGTAGGCCTATAGTATTGCACATAGATTACATAACATCTTTTAAGAAGTTACATAATCACAAATTTACTATAGCATTCTTCTCTTTGTATTGAAAAACTTGATTAGTTATATTTTCTTCTAGTAGGCTATTAACTTGAAGTTAACTGACAATGAGCAAAAGTGATTTTAAAACAAATTCATGGTATATTTTGAGCAAAGGGTGGGATTACATAACCTTAACATTTGATAGTTATGTAACAATGTTGGACCATTTTAAATCTACCATTAGCTTGAGCATATACAAATGTCATATTTTAGATTAAAGCAGTGTTACATTTAAAGAATGCCTTCTTATCACATTGATTATTAGATGTTTAAAAAAATTTGAAAGGGGGGTATTACATAATCTATGAGATTAGTAGGTTGAGTAATCGAAGGACACTTTTTAAAATAGCATCATTGGATTCAGCATACAAAAATCTATAAAATGTCTTAAAATTACATCAATTGATAAAGTATTCTGGCTTTTATACCACTTTTAGTGAAAAACGCTTAAAAATTTGGTCCATACCCTCCCAGTATTTTTCCTCTTTCAGGGTCTACCCCTGTTGTCTGAAAAAACTATTGTTTTTTAATGACTAAAAAATTCATAACTTTTTTGTTTATGGTCAGATTTAAAAAATTCAAACTGATCTGTAATCAGATTGACAGCCCCTATCCAAATATGTAACTATTATATTGTTTTACTGAAATTAAATTTTTGCATTGGCCTAGCTATTCAAATAGACCATTCGGATTACTAAAATTAATTGATTACCAGAAAATCAATAGTTTTAGCCCTCCAACCCAAAGTAAAAAAAAGGCTGGACTTGCGCAGAGCGCTATCTAGCATGCATGGTACGAGAATCTAGATCTAAGTCTATAGTCAAGGCCTGAGTCTATAGGCCAAAATACGCTCAACCGGAGGTGAACATGTAGCAGCAAATAAAATACGCTAAAAGTTTTAACGATCTAGGGCAAATGTGCTCAAACTGACTAGACTAAGTCTTCACCATATTTAATAGTACCTAAATCTAGAATAGGTCCTACTAGATCTATATTTAAATCTAGCTCTGGATCTCCATAGATCTATCTCAATCTGACTCTCTACTCTTTAGATCTGGGTAAGGGTTTGCAAGCTGGTTACATTTCGCAACTTTTCTGGGAGCATTAGTGAGCTATAAAAGCGAATAATAATTATAATTATACAGTTTTGGTTTAATATGGAGGTCATTTTTTAAAACAACGTACAAGAGTGGTTATATCTTGTTTAGACAAGTGGGGTTGTCTGTTAGAAACTTGATTTTGATTTGTCGTTTCGTTTTCTCCAGCCATGTTTCTGATGCAAGTTTATTTCACTTCCGCCGGTTCAGTTCCTTGATAAATGTTAGCCTAGATCTAATGATGTCATTACAAGATCGGTTAATTTAGTTTTTGATTGTTTTTTCAAGAAAAATACAGATTACAATTTAAATAATTTTTTAACTTTAATTAAAATTTTTATGACAGCAGATTATTTTAAGTTTTGATTTTTAGTCACATCTACTAGGCCTACAGTCTTTCTAATTATTTTGTTCGAATCTCGTATTGACCCATTTCATTGTAAACTTCCTGTGCTCTGCTAAAAATATAAACACGAGGAGAAATGTTGGAAAACACCTCCACTCACACTGCTGTTTTATTACTGACGTCGTTGACAACACCATATTCCATTATTAGATCCAGATATAATTGTTTTTTCATGTTAGAACTCTATTTTAATTTAATTTTTTAGCAGTTACAAGCAGAATATATTGCAATATAACGTTCTAACGTTTTTAATTCTGAATTCAAAATACTAAATACTAGGCTTTTTGATGAGAATTACAGAATGATTTTTTTATTAAAAATGTATTAATAATAGCTAGAATACTAGTAAACTAAGCTAATTTAGCATATTTTAACTTTCTGTGCAAAGTCATTATTACTGAAAAAAATTCCAAAGTCAGGTCAGCCTGTGGCACCCTCCACTGAACTTGAAAGAAGGAAAAAAAACTTGACCCGTGACCTTCATTAAAACAGAATTTACTTATGTTTCTTTTTAACTATTAGTAAACATGTGCTTAATATTACCCAATAAGTAATAAAAATTTGACAATTAATTTTAATTACTGTTGTAAAGTGAGATAAACAGCTTAATAAACACGTGTTTTCTTGAGGGGGTGTGACCCGGGTTGGGCACATCGCATGTAACTTTTTATTTCTGTGTCTTATGACTATTTGTTCACAATCAGCATGCTATGCTTTTAAAATTGATAAAGGGTAAGTATACCAAGCTACAAAACCTAAAATCTAACTAATAATTCATACTTTCAGTTTAAAAAATAATAAAAACGATCCTCAATGAAGAAAGCGTAAACATTCTATTTTTAGGTGTGACATAAAAAAAACAGTCATAAACCTAGCCAAATGATTGGATTCTTGCGCGGCACACATTTTCCCGCGCCTCGTGTTCACCAAAAAAGATTATAATAAAATGGCATTATTACTTGCACGGACCACATCTCATTCCGACCATAAGTTATTACCAGTTAATTGTAATGTGTGTAAAATTGATACTTTCAAGTTTCATATACACATAGTTTGGTTTATTATACACGGGGTATTTTAGAGTTATTTGATTCGAAAGATGAGAATTATATAGAGCTACTTTCACTAAGGCGCCGCTTGCGAGACAAACAAAGAAATTAGGCCAAAAGTAGATCCGACAATTCTTAATTAATAGACTTAAATAGAAACGGATAGTTCCGATTTCTAAAATTAACGATGGCTTCGTAATCATTAGTTTTATCCCTCTACCCATTAGTGAAAGCGAAACTGGTCGCCATTTTTGGTAAGCGCATGAGCCGTGAGATGGCTTCAAAACAACAAACCCGGAAGCTGTGAATCGAACGGCCTACTAAATACTAAATAAATACTAGGCCTATACTTTTGGACTTTTGAGTCTACTCACTACTGACACACTGAGAATAGAATAGATAGATAGATCTAGATGATGATATTAATTGATATGGTAAAAATCATCATCATGGTGGTATGAATGAACTATGAATCATATGATATTTATGATAATGATGGTAGTAAAAATAAGGCCGATTCTAGTCGGAATAAGATTCGCATGCGCAATGGAGAGAAACTACGACTTAGCGGCGATGTTTTCGATGTGTGTGTTTACAACCGCAGAACCCTAATACCAACCCTAATCCTATCCTTAACCGTATCCCTAATCCTAACCCTAGCCCTAATCCTAACCCTAGCCCTAATCCTAACCCTATCCCTAATCCTACCCCTAACCCTCATTCTAACCCTAGCCATAGGTCACTGCGCATGTGCAGAACTATCTTTTGCAGAAAAATCTTATTCCGAGTAGACACTTTGTAAAAATAATGGTAATCTTCTATCACTATCATCAAGTATCAAGGCTAGATCTAGCATTCTAGCTAGAGTAAAGTTCCACAGATCGATCAGACATAGCGAAAAATCCGAACTCCTGATTTTCATTGAGCGCTATTTTATAATCGTTTCATACAGAAACAAACCAAAAGTACTGTGTTACTCCGCTCCCAATCTACTCTAATAATTTAAATAATACTAATATGTATGACTATGAGTCATTGGATGATTTTAGATACCGATGTCCTATAATAGACACTTCCATAAAATAGGTGTGTTGGGTTGTTAGTAGTATTGTGATCTCGACTAATTTTATGATTAGAAATTAGGGTTAGGCGTATGTTATGGTTGGGGTTAGGGACAGGGTTAGCATTACATTAACAAGCCATGTGTGTATTTTAGTTAACTACTAGTTACCTAACACCCCTTTTTTAAAGAAGATTCTATTATTGGACACTGGTATAAAAATTCCCCCGTGTCATTTTGTATTACTACACATAGACTTTGAGATATTCATGTTTTAGTTACGACCCTCCTTGCCATATTTTTCCCCCTTTTTTTGCATGCGGCCGCCTGCCCCTGCTAGCGCAACGACTGTTGTGTATTTTATTCATTTCGATCCAATTTTGGTAATTGAAATAAATATTTTACATTTTTAAACATGTTGTAGCGACGTAGCATATGCTGCTATCTATAGTTGTTTTATTTTCTACTTATCAACAATTCATAATTTGTGAATTCGACACTACCCCACAGCTCTGCCTCCCGCACCCCCACTCCATCCCACCCAGTGAAAGAGCCATTTACAAACGACAATGAAAATATCAAGCAGAACTTGTTATCTCCACTTCAAATAGTTTAAAAACTAAATTATCTGCCCCTAATAGCCGTCACCATTTTTTGAACCGGCTGTACTATTGTAAACATTCGGGGTGAACCACAGCTCACCTGACAGGTGGGGATGAGGGTGGTGGCTAAGCTGCGTGGTGTCTTCTATGGTGCCCATGAAGAGAATTATATATATAGATAAGCTTGGCTGCATCCGATGAACACATTGCTAATCTTTACTTATTACTGAAAAGTTTAATACAATTGTTTAAAAACAAGTACATAAATGAAAGTGAAACATTTTTTGTTTTTGTAACTTTCAAAACAAATCCTCCGACAAATGTGAAATAACTATTAAAATTTAATGAGTCATCTTTTTTTCACATTACTAGCCTCAGCTGATTTTACATACCTCAAACAATAGATTGCCCTAATATTATAATAATAAGTATTAATTTATTAAAGTAGTTAAAGTATTAGAAATCTAGATCTAGTAGTAGTAGATGCTATATTTCATAGGATGTGAACTTGAATTAAAAATTGAATGAATGGGCTTGTCATCTTTCCTTGTAATATTTTTTTACCATATTAGATCTAAGGCCTAAGGGAATATTGTATTACCATTTTCTGATAAAAGCATCAATGCCAAATTTTGTAGTGTTATCTCTGATTCAGTTGTATGTGTAATCTCTGATTTAGATGTAAGTGTAATCTCTTGATTTAGTTGTAAGTGTAATCTCTGATTGAGTTGTAAGTGTAATCTCTGATTGAGTTGTAAGTGTAATCTCTGATTTAGTTGTAAGTGTAATCTCTAGTTTAATTGTAAGTGTAATCTCTGACTTAGTAGTAAGTGTAATCTCTGATTTAGTAGTAAGTGTAATCTCTGATTTAGTTGTAAGTGTAATCTCTGATTTAGTTGTAAGTGTCAGGGCTGTGGTAGGACTTGACATGGGTAAAAGCAGTTAGGGATATGCCGGATAGGTCCGCAACTACCATAACTTTTGATTTCAAAGGGACTACGCATAAGAAGCGCCTGCCTCCCAGCCACTCCAAGGCCATAGGCTAGCTGGTAGAATATGTGTAATCGCTTGAGATTCAAGTAAACAATGCTTCAGACTACATGGATAGCTCTTGTACTGGGCCTCTGGTCATCACTGTATCTTATTGATGTCTTTCTCAAGGTAGGTTGGTCAGGACAATGCTTTTGTCCAACTTAATAGATTTTAGGACATAAGAACATTTTATAAGCCTATTTATACTTTATAATAATACTTTATAGGCCTAGTTAGTACATAGTACATGACACTAAATAATTCTTAAAGCACTGTTTATTCATAACGTAACCCTATCTCTTCTTAAATTATTTAAAAATTCTCCGTTTAATAATGTTTATATGATTTTCTGATACAGGGGAAAAAAGCCGTAGCTCGACCATACCTAAGTTTTTTAGACAAGACTGGGCTTAATATTTCAATATGTCAGCTGCGGTGGTACACCACAATCTTCAACCGCGCTTTTCTACGCATCGGCCAGTGGCGACCCAGTTTCCTTCGAGCCTGGTTTACCGTGGGAGTTTTCTTTTCCTTGTTGTCAATGGTAGCCTCGGTGTTCCTGCTGTCTCTGCTGGTGCTCAACACTGTCAGACAAAATCCTGTGGAACAACAAGTCCTTACACCAGTGGTTAGTAGCCTTGTGACTAAGTCCTTACACCAGTGGTTAGTAGCCATGTGACAAACTTTAAGTCCTTACACCAGTGGTTAGTAGCCTTGTGACAAACTTTAAGTCCTTACACCAGTGGTTAGTAGCCATGTGACAAACTTTAAGTCCTTACACCCGTGGTTAGTAGCCTTGTGACAAACTTTAAGTCCTTACACCAGTGGTTAGTAGCCTTGTGACAAACTTTAAGTCCTTACACCCGTGGTTAGTAGCCTTGTGACAAACTTTAAGTCCTTACACCAGTGGTTAGTAGCCTTGTGACAAACTTTAAGTCCTTACACCCGTGGTTAGTAGCCTTGTGACAAACTTTAAGTCCTTACACCAGTGGTTAGTAGCCTTGTGACAAACTTTAAGTCCTTACACCAGTGGTTAGTAGCCTTGTGACAAACTTTAAGTCCTTACACCAGTGGTTAGTAGCCTTGTGACAAACTTTAAGTCCTTACACCAGTGGTTAGTAGCCTTGTGACAAACTTTAAGTCCTTACACCCGTGGTTAGTAGCCTTGTGACTAAGTCCTTACACCAGTGGTTAGTAGCCTTGTGACTAAGTCCTTACACCAGTGGTTAGTAGCCTTGTGACAAACTTTAAGTCCTTACACCAGTGGTTAGTAGCCTTGTGACTAAGTCCTTACACCAGTGGTTAGTAGCCTTGTGACAAACTTTAAGTCCTTACACCAGTGGTTAGTAGCCTTGTGACAAACTTTAAGTCCTTACACCCGTGGTTAGTAGCCATGTGACAAACTTTAAGTCCTTACACCCGTGGTTAGTAGCCTTGTGACAAACTTTAAGTCCTTACACCAGTGATTAGTAGCCTTGTGACAAACTTTAAGTCCTTACACCAGTGATTAGTAGCCTTGTGACAAACTTTAAGTCCTTACACCCGTGGTTAGTAGCCTTGTGACAAACTTTAAGTCCTTACACCCGTGGTTAGTAGCCTTGTGACAAACTTTAAGTCCTTACACTAGTGGTTAGTAGCCTTGTGACAAACTTTAAGTAGTAGTCATGCATTAATTTTCTGTTGTGTTAATTTTGAATTAGAGAACTATAACAGTTTCACCTGGCATTTTGATTTAAAGAACGTAATGTGAAAGATAGTTAAGTACATGATGTGTCTTGATATGACAAACACAATTTGTTCTGTTGATACAGTTGTGTTGATACAGTTGTGTTGATACAGTTGTGTTGATACAGTTGTGTTGATACAGTTGTGTTGATACAGTTGTGTTGATACAGTTGTGTTGATACAGTTTTGTTGATACAGTTTTGTTGATACAGTTGTGTAGATACAGTTTTGTTGATACAGTTCTGTTGATACAGTTGTGTTGATACAGTTGTGTTGATACAGTTGTTGATTCTGTTTTCCCCAGATGCCTGGAGTCAACCTGCCCATGAGTCAGATCTCATACTACATGTTGACTCTGCTAGTTTGTGGTATCCTGCATGAAGTGGGTCATGCTCTGGCTGCTGTCAGGTAAGTTTGTGGTATGAAGTGGGTCATGCTCTGGCTGCTGTCAGGTAAGTTTGTGGTATGAAGTGGGTCATGCTCTGGCTGCTGTCAGGTAAGTTTGTCCTGCATGAAGTGGGTCATGCTCTGGCTGCTGTCAGGTAAGTTTGTCCTGCATGAAGTGGGTCATGCTCTGGCTGCTGTCAGGTAAGTTTGTGGTATGAAGTGGATCAGGCAAAATGTTTTCTTTGTTATTCAAGCTAAGGTGAGCTGTCAGCCCAGCGAGCATGTCTTGCTCCATGTGATGTGAAATTCTTGTGAAACCTCTAATAATTTTTATTTTGTAATTATTTATGTCCAGTTTTTACAGTTTTATTTCTTCTTGTTTTATTTATAGATTTAAGAGGCAAATTGATCGTACTAACAAATATCTCCCAAATTTCAGAGAACAAGTTAGAGTGAATGGCTTTGGACTTTTCCTGCTTCTCATTTATCCAGGAGCGTTTGTGGACCTGTCAACTGAGCACCTGCAGGCGGTGTCTCCCCTGCGCCAGCTGAGGATCTACTGCGCTGGTGTCTGGCACAACCTTGTCATTGCCCTGCTGGCTGGCCTGGTGCTGCTGGCTCTCCCCAGCCTGTTGCTGCCCTTCTACACCATAGGATCCTCAGTTGTGGTCACAGAGGTTGTGCCCGTGAGTTGCCTCCCTTTTCTTGCTGCCGTTTACCTGATTAGAATTTTTGCATCCAAACTTTCAGCCATTATAAAATCAAATTATGTTATTTCTGATGGTGGTTAGATAAAGTTTTGTTTCTATTTTTAGAACTCGGCTGTGTCTGGTCCCCGGGGGTTGAGTGTGGGGGAAGCCGTGACAAGAATAAACGACTGCCACATCAAAAGTATTGCAGACTGGTCAGCCTGTCTCACGTCTAGCATGCAAGAAAAATGGACTGGCCACTGCCTGCCACTGGATCTTATCAAGGAGATGGACACCTCACCATTGAGTTAGTTTTCTGAGTCATCTTTTTCATACAGTTGGATGAAACTTTCATTCATTATTAAAGTATGCAAAAATTAGTCTCTAGAATTATTGACCATTGTTTAATTCTTGTATCTGTTGTTGTATCTGGTTCTAGATGTGTTATCTAACAAAAGCCACCACCAGTGGGAGGTGATTGATTGTTGTAACAGCACCAGCGCCACCCACCTGTGTTTTATGTACCACACAAAGAAAAGTGCTGAGACTGTGAGATTTTATCTTTCTTAGCACCTGGTACTGTACATTTGGTTATTACAGTACTAGCAAGCATTTGTTTTTATCTTGACATGATTTTATCATAAACAAATTTTATTCCTAAAAGAAAAAACAAACCAGTAGCTACTCTAATTTATTATCCAAACTGATTCAGCAATCGCGATGAGTTAGACATTAATCCCAGCACCATTTCAGAAATATGCCTGCCTGCCTGCCCGCCACGCCACCGACCGTCCAATGTGTCGGCTACAGAGTGACTGTTATGTTCCAAAAATAGAAGCTGCCTGTGTGTACCCTGCCGTGGACAATGAAACAAAACTTCTGCGAGTCTTTCATGGTCAGAGACCCCCACTCTTATTCCTGGGTTACCCCCTAGATCTGTATTACTCTGGTGAGTTTGTTTTCTTACTTCAATCAAATAAAAATTAATATCACTCATTTCTTACAGCCTGGAAATAGCCTGGAATTCTCAAAAGTGAAATTGAGGTTTTAAAAAGTCAGGAACATTGCAAAGTTGGTGTATTGGGGCTGAAGTGGGAACTCATTCAAGTTTTCTTGCTGTGCTTATCTATTAAAAACAAAAATGTCGATATTAAATGCAGTGAAAAAATTTAGTTTGCTGTGATAGAATTGTGGATCTTAAACTTTGAGAATGGGGTTGGTTATGTCTGCTTTAGAATTAAATTTAATATTACTGTAACCAGTTTCACTTTTATATAATATCGGACAAAAGTAGTTGGCGAGTAAAAAATATTACAAATCAATTTTTTCCCTGTTTGCTTCTTGACTCACTATAGTTATTTATTACTCCGTCTTTGTTATTTTTTAATTTTTACACAAAAAAAAAAATTTGCGAAATGGGGAAGTGTTGTTAAGGATGAATATAAAACTTTTGACAGATTGTTTAGGTAGGCTACATGCTGTATCTGTCAAAAGAACTTCAGTGCGTTTAAGTAATTGTGACAATAAATTGCAAGTTATTCCTAAATTTCTTAAAATCACAGGAGGGACGAGTATGTTCTTGTCGTACCAGCATTTAAATATACATTTTGTTTTAAATCTGTTAAAATAAAATGTGGTTGTGTTTAATAACTTTATGCCACTGCTATTTCAGTTTCCCTTAGCAACTATGTACCAAAGGTGTCATTCATTCCACTCAATCTCCCATATGTCATTGAGACATTTTGCAAGTATCCTTTATTAAATATTTACAGGTGTAACATGGGTGAAGAATAGGTAACCTAGTGTAATGATTGAAATGAAAATGGGTACCCTAGTGTAATGGGTGAAGTTAGAATGGGTACCCTAGTGTAATGGGTGAAGTTAGAATGGGTACCCTAGTGTAATGATTGAAGAGAGAATGGGTATCCTAGTTAAAAAGGCAAAGAATGAGTACCCAGGCTAGTGTTTACAGCAAGAAATTCCTGAACTGGGTCAGATATATCATCTCTTTGTCTGGTGCACTTGTCATACTGAATGTTGTGCCCTGCTATGCTCTAGATGGTCAGTACATCTGCCACGCCTTGATTGAGCTGCTCCTGCGTCCATCTGTCCCTGACCCTGAGATCCGCAGCTTCATCTATGGCCTGGTTATTCTCTTTGGGACAATTTTATTACTGGTCAATGTTGTTTTAGCTATGTGGACACTATTTTTGTGACATGAGATGGTTGCTTGATGCACCAGTTTCAAGTCAATGTTGGCCTAGCTATGTGGACCCTAATTTTGTGGCACGAAGTTGCTTGATGCACCAGTGTCAAGTCAGTGTTGGTCTAGCTATGTGGACCCTAATTTTGTGGCATGAATTTATTGCACCAGTGTCAAGTCAGTGTTGGTCTAGCTATGTGGACCCTAATTTTGTGGCATGAAGTTGCTTGTTGCAGTAGGTATTGGTTTTTAATCAATAAAATGGGAAAACAAATGTTTTGTATTATTGGCCAAAATATAAGCGTGACCATTAGTATTCCTGGATTTGTTGTTATCAGTTGAGAAGTTGGTTGTCTTATGTTTATAATTACAAGTGGAAATTAGATTAGTTAATTGTACATACTGTATAGTTTACAATTAAAATGAATCAGCTTTATAAATACATTAATTTAGAAGAAAATAGGAAAGTAGATCAAGTTCTCATATGAGGTTAAGTGTTTTTATTTGTTTGCAATATGGCTGCCTTAGTTTTCCCATTTCCTAGTCTTACAGAAGTTTTCTTTTTTTTTTTTAAATTTTAAATTCAAGTACTTTGTGAAGGTTTAATTTTTTTAAACTCAGCTTTGAGAGTGTTATTTTTTGTGAATAAACACCAACGTCTTTAGGACCCTGGCTCAACATGTACTGTATAGCCTAAACATCAGCAGTTTAAAATTATCATCAAAAACTTTATCACCTTGTTTAATTAACAATAAAAGAAAAATAGCTTGACAAAACATCAATTTCCATGGTTTGACAGCCATCTTTATTTGAGCTAGACATTGTTGTGTATAGAGGGCACAAGGAGTTCCATTCCTGCCTGACTAATGTTTACTTCTCTCCTTACTCTTTGGATTTATTGCCAGTGCACCTATGCAGTGAATGGAATGTTTTTAATTCTTACTTTTTAAAGTTCTATTTACATTTTATTCATGCTTTCCCAAACATTTACATTTTATTGGAAGTAAACTGTCTTGAAGTTTTGAATTTTATAAATACTGGTGTTTTTTTTTAATTCCTCCTTAATTAGTATGTTATTTTTTTAATGTGAAAAAGTTTGCAATGACTGAATCAATGACATTGTATCATTGTCTTGAAGTTTTGAATTTTATAAATACTGGTGTTTTTTTAAAAATTCCTCCTTAATTAGTATGTTATTTTTTTAATGTGAAAAAGTTTGCAATGACTGAATCAATGACATTGTATCAAAAACTAGGACTGAAGTTGTTAACTCTAGTTTTGTCAAGTCCCTTAACTCCTGGTGTTTTACATACAGTCCCTAGTTTCCTGATACAAATAAAGTTGAACTGTGATGTTGTGCTCAAATAATTAAAATATAACATTCAAGGAGTGTTTGGGAAGAAATACTTTGCTTGTTTATCTTTTGTAGACTAAAACAGTTTATTGCTGTTTGTCATTGGTAGAAATATGTTCATAAGACAATTTCACGTTGAAATATTATTGTCTTAATAATACATTTTGAAATATGTTTATAATTTATTTTAATTTAATGTCAACGTAAAATCCAACGTTTCATTTCTTTGGCTATGTGGGTTACTTGTTATTTATTGACAATTTTGGTGCTTGTTTTGTGTGACTGTTTCTAGGCATGGTAGGACTTTAGCTACATAAATGTTGGCATAGACTCTTCCTGCTTTATAAATTTCAGTTAGGTTTTGTGTGTACTGAGCAGTTTTGGTGAGAAAAAAAAAACATGTAACAATGCCCAGTATCCACCAATATAATGTGTTAGATTTAATTGTGACAAATGACATACTGTGGAAAATAGTTAGGCGAGGAAGTTGTGGACTTGTATAGATCTTAAATTATACTTTTAATATTTAATCATTTTTTACCCACTGTGACAATGATTTTGGACTGACAATTGTTTTGCTGTTATACAAATAATTTTGTTTACATGTGAGCAGTTTTGGTGGTGCCAGGTTTTTCAACAACTTGAAGTTAAATAAGACTCCTGTACAAATGGTAATCCATTTCTTTCTTTTTTTTTTTTTTTGTGTGTTGCTTACTTGAAAGTGAAAACTTGTCACTGATTTCCTATCCAATACAAAGTTAACCACAAACATGTCTTCTTACTATCTAATAATTGATTGCCTCTCTGGAAGACAAGTGATTATTGTCTATCTGGGTGTTACATGCATACACAATTTTATATATATTGAAATGTTAATACATATGTAATAAATATATTTTAAAATAGATCATGAGATGTCTTGACTTACTTGCCTCTGACTGGATGGTTGATTTGAAAGTGTGAAAGCAAAGTCCCAGCTGGTCAAGTAAAAACACAACACAGTCCATACAGTGTAAAAAATGGAATGTTTATTTAGGTTTGGTACCATCAGTCTACTGTCATTCAAATTGTGTCAAATAGTGCTTCAACAAACCACACAACCACAGGCTAAAAGTACCTAGTTCTAACACCAGTCCATTCAAAGTTGGATGATTTAAAAAAGTGTAAATAAAAATTGGGAGCTCAAAAGTGGCTACCAAAATATTCCTTTATTAAACAACATTAATAAAGAAAATTCTAAAAACGAATTACTCAAAAATACTTGTTTGGCTGCCTATTTGTTAACAACAATATAATGTCATTGATAAACTAAACCCTTCATAAATTTATTTTCAAATGGCACACATATTAAACATCACTAACACTAAATACAGCATGTACAGGAAAGTTATTCTAAATATAGAACACGTAGCACCCTGTCTGTAATAGAAACTAACATTAGGTGGTATACCACCAGTTTTGATTGGCTCTCACTTGAAAGAAATGATAAGATTTGTAGGTACTTGGACTAAAAATGGAAAAAAAACTTTTAAAGGGAAAAAAAATTCTTAACCATTAAGTTTTTGCAGTTTAAAATGTATTGACACTACACTGTCACATTATAGATGGCTTTTTAACTCCTCAATTAATTGTTAAAATTAATATGTATAAAAATGAACGTTTTAGGGTTTAAAAAAGTAAAACATAAAATAACAACAAAGTATATAGTATGGTGTCTATTTACATAAAATGAAAATGTTACAAATCTTTAAAAAAAATTCCATCAACTTTTCCAAGGCCTTTTTCAGCAGCCTGTTCAACTAATTATAGGTTTAAAGTTTTTAAAGGAAGACTTTGTACCAACATTTGCTGAAGGTCCTTACTAATCTATATGGGGAATCTTAAAACTTATTTGCATTTTCTAGTTTAGGATATTAACAAGAAAACTTAATTCACTCTGTTTTTTCAGTGTGGTTTGGGGTCATCCACTGATGATGCCAAACTTAGGGGGATGGTCATGCATGTGCTCTAGCTTTAGGGAAAATGTGGAATGTAGGCAGAGGTGGGTGGTGGTGTCTTGCAAACATTGGATTATTTCCTTATAAGTAGTTAATTAAAAGAAAATATATAATAGGAGCTCTTGATCCAGGAATGTGTCCTTATGGTGAAAATAGTGCTAGTAATTTTTGTATTCACTGTCGAAATGTCAAAATAAAATACAAAAGCTCACCAGCTAACTAAAAACGAAAACCACCACAAGGACAAATAAGGATTTTTTTTTGGAATATTCTCAAATTGAAATATTCTGAAATCTGAAATATTAACCTACAACTTTTCTTGCTTTAACAGTAAGATCTTATTTTACCTGTGCAGGAACTAGAAAATTCTTTAAGTTAGACATTGTGGACCATGCAACATTGTTGTAACCAAATACCCCACCCTAATAGGACTTTGTGATGAAATTTGCTAACTAGGTGATTAAAAATAAACCATAACAAATTTCAATTTAAAAACATTCATCGTTAAAGTTTTGTTAAAAAAGTAATTTTGTAAACAGTCTTCTAAAATCCTAATTTAAAATCAGTTTTTTCCCAGAAATTTCTGTCATGGTGTCAGTTTTCTCAGTTCAGAGCTACAAAAGCAAGGCAGAGCAGTGTAGCTAAACAAGCAAAATTTGAGCTTTTTGCTTTGCTCAACTCTATAAGCAAAATATCAAGGACGCATGTTAATATCTGTAGACCTACTATAGGTGCCATTACAATGTTCACCTATGCATAATTTACTATTTCAACATTTTGATGATGAATTGGACATTGTGTTTAATGGATGATGTTTGCATGATGAAATCATGAAAGATGCCGGACATTATTTAATAAACAAGTCATTTGTCAAGTGAACTTTGGACTAGCTGCTTTGGACTTCAGTAAAGGTCTTATGTTTTATTTGTAAGAGTTATCTTTCCCTGCACCTATTGATTTGATAGTAGTTTTGATGCTGTCAAAAATTGTCATATTAGATTTTTCATCTGAAGACTTGCGCCCTAGCGACCCTGACCTTTTCCTAGCCTGAGACCCAGGATTTGATCTTAGGCCAATGAGGTGGGCATTTTCTGCAGAAAATCCATCATTGCTGTCTGCCCTGGCTAACGTTTTGATGGAAACGATGGACGGAGGCCGCAGGGATTCACTTGATGCTCTTAAATCTTCCCCACTTTCAAAAATGGGGTCAAAGCGTATATACGTGGACGACTGGGTCTTCTGTTTGCTCTTGTCTTTGCTGTTTGATCTCATAAATTTTTTCTGCTCAGTGGGTGAAGACTTGGATGGGTTGTTGTGGGCGTCACCTTCTGATCTAACGCTCAGCCTTTTCCTGGCGTGCAGTGTGTCCGTGTTCTTGGAGGTCCTCCTGTTGTCTGCCTCGTTGCTGTAGTGCTTGAGCTGGTCCACGTCTGTGATGCCCATGCGCCGTACGTCCCTGGAAGCTCCTGTTGTTCCTGTCCACAGGTTGCAGGCGTCCATCCTGTGGTCTGAGATGATGACGTCCTCCTCGCACGTGGCCAGACGGTACGAGCTGTTCCTCCCAGCCAGGTCAGACAGGTAACTGCTCTGTGTGTTCCTCACAGCACACCTGTAGGAGTCAGCACGGCTGACATTGTCATCAATAAACCCTGGGCATGGAGCAGACACTGCTCGACCTTGGGACGGGTTGCTGTATGTTGTGGCTTGTAGGCTGTGGTTGTTTTTTGTCGTGGCTTGTAGGCTGTGGTTGCTGTATGTTGTGGCTTGTAGGCTGTGGTTGTTTTTTGTCGTGGCTTGTAGGCTGTGGTTGCTGTATGTTGTGGCTTGTAGGCTGTGGTTGGTTTTTGTGGTGGCTTGTAGGCTGTGGTTGCTGTTTGTTGTGGCTTGTAGGCTGTGGTTGGTCGGATGTTTTTGTTTTGGTATCAAGTTGATTTGGTCACTCTCTGTCAACAAGGCGACACGGTACGAGTCAGACCTGCCCGCTGAACTATTGGAGTGGAGAGATTCACTGGATGTACCTGAGTGTAGACTTGGCTGGGACAAATCTGTTTTGGTGACCCTGCCCACGAGCTGGCTGGTTGAGTTGACAGAGAACTGGGAGGACAGCGACTCGCTGGAGTTGGCTGATGATGTGCTCAGGGCTTTCAGTGGGTAGTCTGCCCTTTGGTGGCTGCTACTGGCTGCTGGTCTAGAGACAAAGTTGGATTTTTTCTCCAGGAGGAGCTGCTGTTTGATGTGTGGGCTTTCATGCTTGCCCTGGGCTGTGTAGGAAAACTGTTGCTGCCCTGACGGAGAATACGAGAAAGAGTTTCCAGCCGAGCTGACCTGGGCTGGGACAGATGGAGAACCAAAGCCACTGTCAGCAGGGCTGTAAGCGTCAGTGCCACTTCGTCTTCTTGTCACGTCACTGCCTCGAGTGCTGCTGCCAGAACTTTCATTGCCGCTGTGGACTGAAGAGCTGGAGTCAGTGCGGGCCTCACCCATACTTCTCCTGTGTGCTGGCCTGTGGGTAGAGCCATGCTGGGACCAGGACCGAGGATGTGATGGTTGACTGGATGGCTCAGACTGACTAAAGCCTTGTGTCTGGGAGGGTGGAGCCACACTTGGTTCACCATAAGAGACATGGCTCTTGTTGTTGTTATTGTCACTTGTGTACTTGTGCAATGTATCCTCTGCTGGAATGGAATCATGAGCTTGTCTGGTAGATGGTTTAGTTGGCCTGTGACCTAAGGAGCTTTGATAGCTATCTGAAGATGAAGGAAATTGTGTGTTGCTGTAGCTGTCTTGCGCTGGTGATGATGCTGATGTAGGTTTGGCATAAGTTTGAGCTGGAAATTTTTTTATTTCCAAAGAACTTGAGCTGACAGTTTTATTGAAGTGTCTAGATGAGTCAATGGTCTTCTGGGGAGTGATGTTAGGGGTGTCGTCTGTGTGGGGAGTGATGTTAGGGGTGTCGTCTGTGTCCCAGTTGAGAGACACGGTGGAGCCTGACGGCGTGAAGTCTGTGACGTGGGTCAGGCTTGTGTTGTCGATGTCTGACAGCGCTATGGTGCTGCTGCTGCTGTGGGTGTCGCTGGACTTGTTGACAGACTTGAGCAGTGTTGGCGCTGGATCATCAAAGCTGTCAAATGAGGCCAGGGAAAGGGAAGACGACATAGTGATGGAGGAAAAGTCAGAAGATAAATGCTGCAAGCTGTCTTCTCCTGTGATGGTCGAGTTCCTCTTGGTGCTCTTTGGGTTGGGATTGGAGGCAGTTTGGTCTTTGTTGCACTCACTCTGTAATACATTCATTGCAAACATGATTCACTTAATGTTAATGACAAGAATACATTTTGTGTACTTAATGATGATGACAAGAATACATTTTGTTTACTCAATGACGGTGAATTGAATACATTATACTATTTCACTATAAAAGGAAAATAAGCTGCTTTTGTTTACATTTTGCCATGCATTCTTAAGTTTGTCAACAGGCCTTTACCCTCTGTCATTACAATCCCTCTCCCCAAACAAACTAGAGCAGGACATTACCCCCCTGTCAACTACCTCTTTGAGTTGGACATTTCAAATAGACCCTAAACCTCATCCTAGTAATAGACCTACCCTTAACCAAAGGAAGGGGGGAGGCTGACAGAGGAATAATATCCTAGAGCTTAAGCCCACATTTAAAGTGAACTATGAAGATTAATAAAAAAATTTAGTTCTACATTGTTGATTATATTCTCATGAATGACAAATATTGAATGATAGAAAAAGACAAGAAAATGAAAATACCAATAAACAACTTACTGGATCCTCTGAGGTAGATGAATCAATGTTGAACGTCTGTCTGTCACTTTGGACTCTCTGTCTACAGTCATGATGACTTGACATGGATGGTGGCAGTGGAAGATGTAAGAGAGAGGGGGGAGCATCCAGTGGGCTGTTACAGGCGGTGGTGTCTAACGAGTCATTAGGTGGGGTAGATGTGCTGTCATCTGAGGATGAGAGTCGTGAGAGAGGCAACTGCACGCTGTGTTTTGACTGGGCATCAAACAGGCTTACAACTGGGTCAAAGTTCAAGGACTTGAGGTTGCTGCTGGGTTTGAATTTCTCCGATGTCTTGAGTATACCAGGCTGCAGTACATTGGAGCGCTTGATTCTGGGCCAGGAGTTGGCAGTGAGGTCAAAGCTTTCAGATGGCGCTGGAGAGGTGAAGGTCAAGTGAGCTCGCGGTAAAGTCCCTGCCTCAAACATCTTCTCCACCTCACTAGACTCGGCATTCAGGCGTTCCTGAGAGGCAGACATTTCTTTCCCTGCAAGCTCCTCCTCGTCACTGGTCATGCCTGGACACCAGGACGGGAAGGACAGCACTGAGATACTGGTTTTCTTCTTTAGCCTGGCGTAGATGACTTCGTGGTCCGAGGACTCTGACGAGGTTTCCCCTGTAGGACTGGCGTCATGGTGGCTGGACTCCCACGAGGACTCTGATGAGGTTTCCCCTGTAGGACTGGCGTCATGTTGACTGGACTCCCAACCCTGCTCTTTGGCTGGTGCGTTGCTTGATATTCTTGGTGGTGGGGGAGGAGGGGGTGCTTTTCTTTTTTTATCTTTTTTAGCCCTGAGAGTGCCCACATCTTCCACGTCATCAACTATCTCAGAACCGTCAGTTAACGGAGAAATGTTAGACAGCTGGTAGGTGTTGTTGAGACCTAATGAGGCAAGATGTGGGGAGGAGACGGAGGAAGTCAAAGTGTCACTCCCGTCTTGGTCAAGAGTTCTGAAAATGACACTTTCAATGGTGCTGTAACTGGCAGCACTCTGCACACTAGGGCAGTCTCTGGGCATCATGAGGTCATCGTCCTCCTCGTCCAGTAGCGTGTTGGTGCTTTTCCTCAAGCCGCTGTCGTTGTGGAAGGACGTGTAGAAGCCCTCGGTGTCCAGAGAGTACACAGATGACTCTCCATCGTCCTCAAGTTCGTTCCTCCTCTGCCTCAAACACCTCCTCCCAGGGACCAGAATATCAAGATTTCTGATGTTCTGCTTGGTCAGTCGGGACAAGTTAGCCAGAGCCTCTGCGCTGGTTGATGTCACGTCTCCACGACTGGCAGCCCTCTCGGCCAGCGAGCGCAGCCACTCGTCGCTGTCAGTGTTGGACATGGACTTGGTGTCAGAGATGGTCTCTGTGCTGGCAGCATCTCCCATGTAACCAGCATCAAGTCCGTCGCTGAAATAAAGATATTGAAATGGTAATTTTATTGAAAAAATAAATAAATTAAAATTATCACACCACTGGTATAAAAAAAGCATAACCTGCATAGTTTTTAAAAAAATTTCTTTTAGTAGGCCTAAACAATACTAACACTAGAGAGAAAGTTAGGGATTGTATTAAATATTAACTGTTTTTACTTGTGTTAATAAATTGATAAAATAATTATTTTTTAATAATATTTGTATTTAACTGTAGACATTTGTTTCAACTGACATTTATGTTTAGCTGTTTGATGTTTATATTGAACAACTTGGCATTTATATTTCTCAAAGTTTGACATGTACGTCAAGCTGTTTGATGTTTCTAAAATTGAAACCTGATTTACCGTTCGCCTGCAGAGTGTGGGGAGTCCCTGCCAGAATCTTTGCCCAGAGAGTGCTGGGAGAACGTGGAGGGTTGGCTAGACTTGGTGTCGGAGTCCATGGACTGGCGGTTGCTGCTGTAGCCACTCCAGTTGCCTGTCAGACAAAAATAGCTCGTCAAACATCAACACTGACTGTCATAAAGGAAGTTTTGAGATAAACTATTGATGACATGATTTGAACAAAAATACACATGTTACTGATACACCAATTGTGAACATCCATTTTAGATTTTAAACAAATAATTCCTTAAAAGTTTCTAATTTTTATAGGAAAACAGAGTTCATTCTCAGCTGGTTCTCACTAAGTGATAGAAATAGGAAGTGGATATTTGTGCTAATTATAATGTTAAGATGTAAATTCAATACACATAAATTGTGTCAGATATAAAATAAAAAAAAACAGCAGTTAAAAAGAGATCTCACCGGAAGAACTTTGACGATCTTCTTTTCTTCTCTTGGAAATTTCCCTCAGTTTGACTGAGGTAGTCCAGTCTTTTGGTAGAGAGTCCCATGGGAAGTCATACTTCTTGGCCTGGGCACGGGGTAGGGTGTTGCTGTTGAAGTAGTAGTAAGAGCCGGGGCCAATTTGTGACTCATTTGAGGTGGCTCGGCTCATTATTCCTGGAGGCATTTCAAGAGTTAATTAAAGCTACTTAGTTGTGCTAAGCTAAAGGAATTAAGAAAAAGTGCTTCTATAGAGGTCTGAGGATTCTTTATGCGCACTTACCATCTGGCATGCTGGGAGAACTGGCTCGACTTAAGCCGAGTGACCTGTCCACTGACTTGGCTCGGCTTAATCCCTTCTTTGATGCTTCGTTGTCCAGTTTGACCTCAACAGAATCAAAGTCTAAGGACTTTGGCCGGGGCTTGAGAGTCCCAGAGACCAGAGATTTGATCTTCTCTCCAATCAGACTGGAGCGTTTGGATGACCTTGAGGATCTGTTGTCCCCCACACTGGCCAGACTAGAGCTGCTGACAAACTTGTTTGGGCCGTCTGTTTGTTGTTTGTGTTTGTTTGGGACGTCTGTTTGTTGTTTGTGTTTGTATTCATCTGGGATGGCTTTCTGCTGGGATTTCTTGATGTAGAGGGACGAGCGCGTTAGGCCGTCTTTGTTCTTGGAGGCAGAGATCAACTTGACGCAGCGCGGCAGGGAGCGTGAGCGGCGGCAGGGAAGGAACTTCAGAAGTTTGGCCTCGCGCTGCTCAGCGTACTCTTCTTCCTCACGCTCTGCAATGGCTGCATCGATCTCTTGCAAGTACTGCTGCATGACTTCATCTTTGGCATCAAGCTCTTTCTGATCAAGGTCATCCAGGCTGTATGTTCTTGACCCTGCTCTCTCAATACGTCGACCTCTCTCAAACTGTTCAAGTTCCTGAAATCATACATTCTCTATGTCAATATTAGCTCTCACACAAATGGGGACTATATCACCTGTAAACTTGACACGAAATATTTGACCTGGATAGACAAAACTTTTACCTGCATAAAACTCTCAGGTACCCCAGAGACAGTCCGTCGTCTCTGCTTCCTTTTCTTGTCCCCCAGCTCCCTGTCCTCCCGTAGTGACCGCCTAAACGATGCCATCCTTTCAAACTTTGAGCCCGACGTGTCCACTGGCACCAACATGGACGGCTGTGAACTGGACAAGTGGTCATCTCTGGACGCCTGCAGGTCACCAGACCTGTCCTGGTAGACTTCGTCTATCACCTGGATGGTTTTCCGCCGCTCGCGGATCTTCAGGGTCTTGTAGCTCTTCTTGTGGCTCAGGGGGGAGGTAAACTGGAGGGGTCACAAATTGTAACAATTAGGAAATTCGACAAAATCTTTCAAAATGGACAAAATCATTTAATATTATATTGTCTGTACCCTTAAACCATGGCCCTAATATGACCATAACCCTAATCATAATCCTGACAAAAGTTGGCAGCAATAAAAACTTAGAACAATATTTATCTTAGGACATGGACGCCTAGCACCCCCATCAAAATAAATATTTATATAATATGCCTTGCCACCTGCTCCTAACAACCACAAAAATATCAAAGACTAGATCCCTGTGTATGATAGAATATTGATCTGGACTTTTGTATTAAATAAGAGCTAAAAACAATCCCTGAGTATTTAAGGTTTAGGACAATCTTGACGTCAATAGAATTTGCTTGAGCTGAAAACTTACAGTTCGGGGTAGGTCCAGATCGTCCACCCCCCTGTTGGTCTCGTTGAGAACGATGGGCCACAGCTTGAAGAGGTGGGAGCTGCAGAGGCCGTCCTTCCGGTACATGTCCACCCCGCGCAGGGCGTGCACCGGCGTGACGTCACACAGGGAGTAGTTGAACTTGATGCTGTGGGGACGGTTGAGGGGGGTGAAATGGTCGCAGTCGAAGCCATGTTTGGCCACGTGATGCTCGCTCACGTGACTGAACTGCTTGAGGGTGCCAACAGCTGGGGAGAAAATAATTTGGTTGTCACAGAGGTTGACGGTCAGTAGCATGTCAGTGTGGCTAACTTAACTGTCGGCCAATCACAGAGGTTGACGGTCAGTAGCATGTCAGTGTGGCTAACTTAACTGTCGGCCAATCACAGAGGTTGACGGTCAGTAGCATGTCAGTGTGGCTAACTTAACTGTCGGCCAATCACAGAGGTTGACGGTCAGTAGCATGTCAGTGTGACTAACTTAACTGTCGGTCAATCACAGAGGTTGATGGTCAGTAGCATGTCAGTGTGGCTAACTTAACTGTCGGCCCATCACAGAGGTTGATGGTCAGTAGCATGTCAGTGTGGCTAACTTAACTGTCGGCCAATCACAGAGGTTGACGGTCAGTAGCATGTCAGTGTGGCTAACTTAACTGTCGGCCAATCACAGAGGTTGACGGTCAGTAGCATGTCAGTGTGGCTAACTTAACTGTCGGCCAATCACAGAGGTTGACGGTCAGTGGCATGTCAGTGTGGCTAACTTAACTGTCGGCCAATCACAGAGGTTGATGGTCAGTAGCATGTCAGTGTGGCTAACTTAACTGTCGGCCAATCACAGAGGTTGACGGTCAGTAGCATGTCAGTGTGGCTAACTTAACTGTCGGCCAATCACAGAGGTTGACGGTCAGTGGCATGTCAGTGTGGCTAACTTAACTGTCGGCCAATCACAGAGGTTGATGGTCAGTAGCATGTCAGTGTGGCTAACTTAACTGTCGGCCAATCACAGAGGTTGATGGTCAGTAGCATGTCAGTGTGGCTAACTTAACTGTCGGCCAATCACGGAGGTTGATGGTCAGTGGCATGTCAGTGTGGCTAACTTAACTGTCGGCCCATCACAGAGGTTGATGGTCAGTAGCATGTCAGTGTGGCTAACTTAACTGTCGGCCAATCACAGAGGTTGATGGTCAGTAGCATGTCAGTGTGGCTAACTTAACTGTCGGCCCATCACAGAGGTTGATGGTCAGTAGCATGTCAGTGTGGCTAACTTAACTGTCGGCCAATCACAGAGGTTGATGGTCAGTAGCATGTCAGTGTGGCTAACTTAACTGTCGGCCCATCACAGAGGTTGATGGTCAGTAGCATGTCAGTGTGACTAACTTAACTGTCGGCCAATCACAGAGGTTGATGGTCAGTAGCATGTCAGTGTGGCTAACTTAACTGTCGGCCAATCACAGAGGTTGATGGTCAGTAGCATGTCAGTGTGGCTAACTTAACTGTCGGCCCATCACAGAGGTTGATGGTCAGTAGCATGTCAGTGTGACTAACTTAACTGTCGGCCAATCACAGAGGTTGATGGTCAGTAGCATGTCAGTGTGGCTAACTTACACTGTGGGCCCATCACAGAGGTTGATGGTCAGTGGCATGTCAGTGTGGCTAACTTAACTGTCGGCCAATCACAGAGGTTGATGGTCAGTAGCATGTCAGTGTGGCTAACTTAACTGTCGGCCAATCAGAGAGGTTGATGGTCAGTAGCATGTCAGTGTGACTAACTTAACTGTCGGCCAATCAGAGAGGTTGATGGTCAGTAGCATGTCAGTGTGGCTAACTTAACTGTCGGCCCATCACAGAGGTTGATGGTCAGTAGCATGTCAGTGTGGCTAACTTAACTGTCGGCCCATCACAGAGGTTGATGGTCAGTAGCATGTCAGTGTGGCTAACTTAACTGTCGGCCAATCACAGAGGTTGATGGTCAGTGGCATGTCAGTGTGGCTAACTTAACTGTCGGCCAATCACAGAGGTTGATGGTCAGTAGCATGTCAGTGTGACTAACTTAACTGTGTGCCAATCAGAGAGGTTGATGGTCAGTAGCATGTCAGTGTGACTAACTTAACTGTGTGCCAATCAGAGAGGTTGATGGTCAGTAGCATGTCAGTGTGGCTAACTTAACTGTGTGCCAATCACAGAGGTTGATGGTCAGTAGCATGTCAGTGTGACTAACTTAACTGTGTGCCAATCAGAGAGGTTGATGGTCAGTAGCATGTCAGTGTGGCTAACTTAACTGTGTGCCAATCAGAGAGGTTGATGGTCAGTAGCATGTCAGTGTGGCTAACTTAACTGTGTGCCAATCAGAGAGGTTGATGGTCAGTAGCATGTCAGTGTGGCTAACTTAACTGTGTGCCAATCAGAGAGGTTGATGGTCAGTAGCATGTCAGTGTGGCTAACTTAACTGTGTGCCAATCAGAGAGGTTGATGGTCAGTAGCATGTCAGTGTGGCTAACTTAACTGTGTGCCAATCAGAGAGGTTGATGGTCAGTAGCATGTCAGTGTGGCTAACTTACACTGTGTGCCAATCAGAGAGGTTGATGGTCAGTAGCATGTCAGTGTGGCTAACTTATAATGTGGGCCAATCACAGAGGTTGACGGTCAGTAGCAAGTCAGTGTGGCTAACTTAACTGTCGGCCAATCACAGAGGTTGATGGTCAGTAGCATGTCAGTGTGACTAACTTAACTGTGGGCCAATCACAGAGGTTGATGGTCAGTAGCATGTCAGTGTGGCTAACTTAACTGTCGGTCAATCACAGAGGTTGATGGTCAGTAGCATGTCAGTGTGGCTAACTTAACTGTCGGCCAATCACAGAGGTTGATGGTCAGTAGCATGTCAGTGTGGCTAACTTAACTGTGTGCCAATCAGAGAGGTTGATGGTCAGTAGCATGTCAGTGTGGCTAACTTAACTGTGTGCCAATCAGAGAGGTTGATGGTCAGTAGCATGTCAGTGTGGCTAACTTACACTGTGTGCCAATCAGAGAGGTTGATGGTCAGTAGCATGTCAGTGTGGCTAACTTATAATGTGGGCCAATCACAGAGGTTGACGGTCAGTAGCAAGTCAGTGTGGCTAACTTAACTGTCGGTCAATCACAGAGGTTGATGGTCAGTAGCATGTCAGTGTGGCTAACTTAACTGTCGGCCAATCACAGAGGTTGATGGTCAGTAGCATGTCAGTGTGGCTAACTTAACTGTCGGCCAATCACAGAGGTTGATGGTCAGTAGCATGTCAGTGTGGCTAACTTAACTGTCGGCCAATCACAGAGGTTGATGGTCAGTAGCATGTCAGTGTGGCTAACTTAACTGTCGGCCAATCAGAGAGGTTGATGGTCAGTAGCATGTCAGTGTGGCTAACTTAACTGTCGGTCAATCACAGAGGTTGATGGTCAGTAGCATGTCAGTGTGGCTAACTTAACTGTCGGTCAATCACAGAGGTTGATGGTCAGTAGCATGTCAGTGTGGCTAACTTAACTGTCGGTCAATCACAGAGGTTGATGGTCAGTAGCATGTCAGTGTGGCTAACTTAACTGTCGGTCAATCACAGAGGTTGATGGTCAGTAGCATGTCAGTGTGGCTAACTTAACTGTCGGTCAATCACAAAGGTTGATGGTCAGTGGCATGTCAGTGTGGCTAACTTAACTGTGGGCCAATCACAGAGGTTGATGGTCAGTAGCATGTCAGTGTGGCTAACTTAACTGTCGGCCAATCACAGAGGTTGATGGTCAGTAGCATGTCAGTGTGGCTAACTTAACTGTCGGTCAATCACAGAGGTTGATGGTCTGTAGCATGTTAGTGTGGCTAACTTAACTGTCGGTCAATCACAGAGGTTGATGGTCAGTAGCATGTCAGTGTGACTAACTTAACTGTCGGTCAATCACAGAGGTTGATGGTCAGTAGCATGTCAGTGTGGCTAACTTAACTGTCGGTCAATCACAGAGGTTGATGGTCAGTAGCATGTCAGTGTGGCTAACTTAACTGTCGGTCAATCACAGAGGTTGATGGTCAGTAGCATGTCAGTGTGGCTAACTTAACTGTCGGTCAATCACAAAGGTTGATGGTCAGTGGCATGTCAGTGTGGCTAACTTAACTGTCGGTCAATCACAGAGGTTGATGGTCAGTAGCAAGTCAGTGTGGCTAACTTAACTGTCGGCCAATCACAGAGGTTGATGGTCAGTAGCAAGTCAGTGTGGCTAACTTAACTGTCGGTCAATCACAGAGGTTGATGGTCAGTAGCATGTCAGTGTGGCTAACTTAACTGTCGGTCAATCACAAAGGTTGATGGTCAGTGGCATGTCAGTGTGGCTAACTTAACTGTCGGCCAATCACAGAGGTTGATGGTCAGTAGCATGTCAGTGTGGCTAACTTAACTGTCGGCCAATCACAGAGGTTGATGGTCAGTAGCATGTCAGTGTGACTAACTTAACTGTCGGCCAATCACAGAGGTTGATGGTCAGTAGCATGTCAGTGTGACTAACTTACACTGTGGGCAAATCACAGAGGTTGATGGTCAGTAGCATGTCAGTGTGGCGAACTTAACTGTCGGCCAATCACAGAGGTTGATGGTCAGTAGCAAGTCAGTGTGGCTAACTTAACTGTCGGTCAATCACAGAGGTTGATGGTCAGTAGCATGTCAGTGTGGCTAACTTAACTGTCGGTCAATCACAAAGGTTGATGGTCAGTGGCATGTCAGTGTGGCTAACTTAACTGTCGGCCAATCACAGAGGTTGATGGTCAGTAGCATGTCAGTGTGGCTAACTTAACTGTCGGCCAATCACAGAGGTTGATGGTCAGTAGCATGTCAGTGTGACTAACTTAACTGTCGGCCAATCACAGAGGTTGATGGTCAGTAGCATGTCAGTGTGACTAACTTACACTGTGGGCCAATCACAGAGGTTGATGGTCAGTAGCATGTCAGTGTGGCGAACTTAACTGTCGGCCAATCACAGAGGTTGATGGTCAGTAGCAAGTCAGTGTGGCTAACTTAACTGTCGGCCAATCACAGAGGTTGATGGTCAGTAGCAAGTCAGTGTGGCTAACTTAACTGTCGGCCAATCACAGAGGTTGATGGTCAGTGGCATGTCAGTGTGACTAACTTAACTGTCGGCCCATCACAGAGGTTGATGGTCAGTAGCATGTCAGTGTGACTAACTTAACTGTCGGCCCATCACAGAGGTTGATGGTCAGTAGCATGTCAGTGTGACTAACT